AAGAAGAACAAGAAGCAGATGACGAAGCAGGCTTACAGTTAGCTGAAATTATGTTATCACATTCGAGTGGTGACTGTAAGTATTGATAATTTCAAGAAACTAAGTAGGTACGCCAGGCCCAAGGCAGAGGTAGAGTACTGTGTTTGTTTTTATCCGGCTGGAGGAAAAATAAACAAACCATGATATCTAAACTGGCTTACCTAAGAGCCGACCCACTGTCTTCTGGGGCTTATCATCGGCGAGACATTTACATAAACGCTACCCAGTGTGCCCACTGTATCAGCGTTGTTGTCTTGTTTTTGTTGTGGACAACCTCCCCCACCACCCCCCAATCACCCAGGCACCCGCCCGCAAATAACAAAGGCCCACAACAATGTATCGGCGTTCGAAGAGCGAATCATTCTTCTTCGGAGAGAGGCTAAGAACTGCCGTTATTGTCTTTACGCTGCGTGCGTTCTTCTGTTTGTGTATTTGTTGCGCTCTAGTTTCTGGCTTAAAGCTATTAATGAAACTAAATTGTAAAGTAAACGTGTTAATTAGAGAGCGAGAAAGAGAGAGAGATTAGTAGGGGGGAAGAGCAAGCAATAGGCGAGAGAAGAGATGACAAAGAGACTCCAATTGGAGAGTTGTTTGCCCGGCACTGGTTTCCCGGCCGGTTTTTCGCTCCTCGAGACGATTTTCCAACAACGTGGCTGGCCAAAAATACGCAAAAGATAGTATCCCAATAAAAGAGAGAGAGAGAAAAGCATACTGTATGTATAAAAGGGGGAGGCTGGGGAGATTGGAGCAGCGGAAGAGTGACAGCAGAAATCGTGTGTGTTGGGAAAATAGAACACAGACGAAGCTCGTGTAGAAGGAGCAGAAAAACCAACAAACAAAAATTATGTGGGACAAACGGCGCATAAACAAACTGCAGGCGGTCTCCGATGCTCTCTCGCTGCCTGGCGGCCAAATAGAGAGAGCGGCCCCAATTGTTTACACACAACTTTTTTGACGCCGCTGTGTTGGCAACATTCTCTCACATTCGATTTGCCATGCGGTTTTCAGGTAAAGTGGAGCTTGGCTAGGACGAACTTGTAGGAGCTTCAATTTGGTAAATTAAAAAGTTATCAGGGATGTCCTAATTTCCCCTTGATGGCTCCTCTTTAATATGTATTTAGAAAAAAAACCCCCTTATGGAGTCTCCACTGTAGCTTCTGTTGCTCACTCACACAAATAGTTATACAACTCACTCTGGGGGCCAAATACGACTCGGCAAGTGAAATTGCAGTGCAAAGGAATTTCGAATAAAAACCAGTTAGAACCATGGCAACGCCAGGGGGTGGTGCGACCTCCCCCCCCCCCCCCCGCCATCAGTCGGCACAAGGGCGCTCTCCAATAAATGGCGATAAAACAAAAACAGTTAAACAGGTGCAAAAGCAAAACAACACAACAGAGTGTCTCTCGGGGGGCTCCCAGAGAGAGCGCCCATGGGAGAGCGAGGGCGAGCAACAGTGTTACCAATCTGTGGCAAAAATGTTTACAAGCACAGCCACACGTGACAGGGAAATTACGATAATGTAGGTTGAAACAAATACTTTAATACGATGACTTATAGGAAGAGGGGGTTGCCAAGCGAGGGAATCCATCATGACAGGATTATGCTTGCCGATAGTAAGAGAACGAAGGTAAACTTTGACGTCACTGTGTTCAACGACGACAGCGACAAATGTGGAGATCAACAGATCAGTCACTCGAAAAGGAATTTTCTTTCAGTACACACACATACCAACACACACACATACACAAGGTGACTGTATTACCTGCGTGTATGTTTCTTTGGGATATGTTTGTATAATCATGTGATACCAAAAAAAAAAAAAATAAAGAAAAATGTGAAAATCAAATAGCGACAAACAGCGACTGAGGCGGCCAGGGCACTAAAAAGTCACAAAAGCAAAAGTGGAGCAATAAAGCAAACAAACCCAAACGGTTGAATTTTCTGTTGCCATGCGCCCCTTGCCCCGCAGCGGGTCTACACCACCCCGCCTCCTAATACCCATATGTATGCCCGTTCTCTATCTCTATCCGTATCTGTATCTCGGACCGTATTTGTATCTGTATCTACATGCCAGACAATCACTGTCGGATCAGCCACGAAAATATGCAAATGCGGCGGCGGCGGCGGGTAACTGAATAAATGCAGTAACAATTACAAGGGGGCACGCACAACATTTGATATGGCTCTAATTTACAGAATTTCCATAAAATTACATCACTCCCCCCTCCCCACCATGTTTTTTTTTTCCAGTGTCTCCCCAGTGGTGGAGATCGGCTGCTGTATTGGGTTTCGGGGAGCACAGAAGAGCACTATGTACAAACGATCGTCAAAAGATAGAGAAAATCGAAATTCTAAAGGCACTACCCGAAACATTTTTAGCTGCCCGCTGGCCGAGAGGGGCTGGCGGGCGATCGGGCGGGTGGAGGTGGCTATAGCCTCAAAATGTATCTGGCGGTACAGTGTGTTTGTGTGGCTTTTCATCAATCGAACTGCGTCACATGATCTTGATTCAGATGATTGTTTTTTTACCAAAAAAAAATTTTAGAAATTCAAATTTTTAGAGCCTAGCACTTTTTCAGATTCAGTACTTCGCATACATAATTTATCCAAAATTTGCATAACCTTGTCCCACTGTGCAGAGCGACGCGAGGAGGTCGCCTCCTTTGCCGAGGCGAACCTCGGGCGGGTAAAAATAGTCGGAAAATTGCATTCCAAGTTTGAATTCCAAGTTTTCCTCCATTTTTTCGAAGTTTTTCTTGTCGCGGACTGTCAAACATATTGTTTGGCGTCTTGGAAAGTTAGCTGGTATCTGACAGATACATTATGCAGCTTCAGGTTGTTGGGCAAGGGTCTCACAATCACATGATAATTTGGCGAAGGCCGAGTTTGGCTAAAAGATGGTGAGCTCGGGCTTAATCTGATTTAATTTGTTTGCTCAGTGTGCTTCGCTTTCGATTGGTTGTTAATTACTTTGATAATATTTGTGAGTCACGCCGCCAAGTAACATGACTTTGCTAATTCCTAATTGTATGTTTAAATTTTAAATTTGAAATTTAAACACTGATAAGCCTGGCGCCTCCAAGAGTGCTGCCCATTCGAGTCTGGTAGCACTGCTTTATGGCCGTTGAAGTGGCAACGCCATCATTGAATGTAACGGTCTAAATGGCCCACTTGAAACCAAAGATGGCGCCAGCAATACCAGTTTTCGGATAAAATCAAGGAATCTGATAAGATTTGGGATATTTTATATAAAAAAATAAAATTTTAGGATTATTTTAAGCTATTAGTGTTGAGAAATAGTTTTATTAATAATTCAATTTTATTTCAGACATATAAGAACCTTTTATTCAGTTTTGTTGGCAAGTTTCTGTTACCCAGGATCTCCCACTCCTTTTAGGTCCTTAAACAAACAAATCTATCAATTAAGAAAAAAGCTTTAAGCTGTCAACACGCCCAAGTACTTGCCCCTCCCTACTTTTCCCCCTTTTGTGGGATAAGCTGCACTTATTGTTTGCCGAAAACGCCCCACCCCCCCTGTAAGGACTTTCTTGGGATGTCCTTCGGGGATTGTTGCTCCGTTTTTTCCTCTTTTTTTGTTCCTATACTTCTTGTACTTTATCCTGCCGGTTAGCTTGTCTTGTCATTGGTAAAATTCCTTTTGGTTGTGAAAAGTACACCGCTCCAGCTCCCCCCCACTCCATCCCCAGGCTCCACGCCCACGATGTCCTGAGTGGAAACCGCTGCCAATTGTCGACTGTTGCATGAATTATGAGTGTCTGCCAAGATTTATGAATTCGAAAGGAGCCGGATAACAAAAGTGGGTCTGGTCCTTTGGCTATGGGGATGGGGATGGGGGTAGAAATCTGTCAGCTGTTGGCTTGAGTTATAAATTTCCTTCAATTAGGTTGGATTTCAATTTCGCCGCAGCCCCTTTTCGGTTCTAGTACTTACTTTGATTACCCAACGATGATGACGGGAGATGATGGAATGAAGCTCCTAACCGCGACTCCATCCCCTCCACCCCCTCCACCCAGCTTATGCAAATTTTTATCGACTCTTTTTTTTTTTGCGGCAACTGTACCCTCCTTTTCGATCGTCTTTTTTTTTTTTTTTGCAAGGACTCTGATTGGCTGGCGGTGCAGTTTTTCCGCCTCACTGTGCAGAGGATTGCCGACTCATGGGAATCACTCGGCGGTTTTGATAAAAAAAAAATCAGCACAACACAACACCACTGGGCGGAATAAATAAACAACAACAACAAGACGCAAAAGGACAAAAAACAAGGAAAAAAAAATGAAATAGCCGGAAGCGGAAGCGGCGCCATCACTTGGAGTGCGGCATGTTGCATGTTGCATGTTCATTAAGCCGCGGCTGGCAAACAAAATCAATGAATGGTGTAAAAATTAATATCCTGTGAAGGGTGAGGGCGGAGAGGCAGGGGGGAGGTGGTGTGTGCAAAAGAATTGCGCGCAAGTGTTGGGGTGTGGCTGCCGCCAGCGGTTTTAATTTACACAAAGCGTAGTCAGGCGTATAATGCGCCCCAACCAGAGGAGGGGGGGAGGGGGGATGGTGCCCCACCCGCCATCAGGACACCAACGCGCGCCAGGACATTTAAAAAGAAGCCTCGAGGCAGCCGCCAAGTCGAGCGACAGCATCAAATGATTTATGAAATTACTTTTGCCGCTGCATCCTTCCTTGGACGGGGGAGGGGCCGTGAAGGAAATGAACGAGAAGAGGAAGAACCGGAAGTGGGCGGGAGACAGCCAGCCAGCCAGTGGATGCCTGGCGTTTCAGGTTTGTGTATTTTGTAGACAACGGTAGTGTTTAAGGACTTGCCTTTTGACCAAAAATGTTGTGGCCCCCCTCTCCCCTCCCCCTATCCCCTCCATCCCAGTAAAAAACATCCTTTAGTTGCAGTTCACAATAGCAAGTGATTTATTCAAATATCCTTCTGGTTCCAGCCTCAATCGATCTGGGTGATGGAGGCCTCATCGTTGCTGGAACAGCGACTGCTCTCGCCATCCGTACGGTATTTGATGGAGTCGATGATCTCCACGTCGATGTCGCAGTTGCCCTGCCCGCCACCGGTGCCGCCTTCCAGGGAGGAGTTGCCCTCCAGCCCGGCGCCCGTGTCACTGGAACCGCGGCCGCCCATCGAGTCCTCGTCGCAGAGATCCGGCGCGGAGAGCGAGGCACTCACCGAGGCCGACTCCGACTTGGCGTCCGCATCCTGGCCGCTCTGGGCCTGCGCCTGGTGGGCGGCGAACTGACTGTAGAGGCGTGGCAGGTGCTGCAGCATGTAGCTGGCTCCCGACTTGGAGAGGTTGGCAGCAGCCGCCGCCGCCGCAGCAGCCGCCGAGAGATTCGCGGCCGTGCTGCTCCCCCCCGCTCCCGGGTGGTTCTCCTTCGCCTCGCCCAGGTCGTAGTACTTGGCGTAGTGCTCGAACTTGCTACCCAACGAACCTGCCACGCCCCCCGCTCCAGCCTGGGCATTGGCGCAGAGGTTGATGGCATCGCTCTGGGCCGCCTTGGGAATGGGCACCGTGAAGGCGGAGCCGTGGCGCTGCTTGGAGAGCAGGCTGCTGGCGAACTGGCCGGTGCCGGCTCCGGAGCAAGGACCTGCACTGGGGGCGCTCTCCTCGGCGATGGACGCGCCGCCGTTGCTGCTGGAGAGCGGCGAGACGTTCTCCTTCTTGCGGTCGTAGATGTGCCCGGAGACGCGCAGGTCGATGAAGAAGTGCAGCGGATCGATGCCGTAGGGCGCGTACAGTGGCGGATACCAGACGGGAGGCGGCGGCGGCAGCACCAGGTCCTGGGGCGGCAGGGAGGCCGCCGGCGGTGTGTTGTCCTGCAGGACGCTGTCCACTGCCCCGCCCAACGAGGCGTTCTTGCCGCCGTTCGCCGCCGTCGATGTGGGTGGGGCGGGAGCCGAAGTCGGGGCCGGTGGTGCTGGCGGGGCTGTGGTTGTGGGCTTGGTCTCCATCTTGGGGTAGCCATAGGGAGCGATGGCCTTGTTAGTCAGTTCCAGAGGCTTCTCGGGCGCCATATTCTGCTGCAGTTGCTGCTGCTGGTGGTGGTGTTGCTTCTCCTCGGCATCGCGGCGCTCGCGGAGCTGCTCGTAGTAGGGACGGTGCGACCAGGACCTCTTCCTGGGGCGCCGCACCAGGGCCGCCTGCTGTTGGGCCTGCTGCTGTTGCTGCTGCTGGGCCTGCTGCTGCTGTTGCTGCTGCAGCTGCAACACCCGGGCCGTCTCGTTGTTCCTCGCCTGGACCAGGGAGCGCAGCATGTCGCTGAAGAAGAAGTTGTTCGGCCCCACCGGTGCTGAGTACAGGTAGGGCGGTGTGGCGGCCATCAGGCGACTCACATAGTCCTGGTTCCGCATCTCGTGGATGTTGCTCTTGCCCCGCGGCTGTTGCTGGGCCGGCGGCGCCGTCGAGGGATCGGATGGGGCCACAGCAGCCGTGGCAGTCACTGGTGTGGAGGGCGTACTGGGCGTGGCATTGCTGGAAGTGGAGGCCGTGGCGGTGGAGCACGGCAGGCCCGCCGGGTTGCTGCCGGCGCCCGAGGAGTGGCTGCTGCTGCTGTCCTTCATTCCTGCAAGAGACTAAGAGATTAAGTAATTAGAATGGATCGTTATCCTTCGTTATCCTGCCGCCACGGCAATTCAAAACACATTTCCATTGTCCTTCTGGGAGTGAGACTGGGAGTGGGTCTTGTATTTGTTCTGAAATATTTGCATTGTCTTGGAAGAAAGGCCCCCGCCTTTTTCATGCTCCTTCCGAGACAATCGAGTCTGCAGTGTGAGTATCCTTGGGTGCATCCTTTCCCCAAGCACAGCATCTACTCTGCCCAACTGCCCTGCCTGCCTGTTTCCTAGTCCTGTTTTGCCAACAAGTCCTGCCATTTGCATAGAAAAACAGGCGACAAAAGGCCCCACCACCACCACCTCCGCCCCCCAGGACCTCATCCTCATCCTGGACGAACTGCTAATAAGCTTACACACATCGCGCCAAATTCCAGTAAATTAAATGTTTCAACAGCAGGATCCCGCCAGGTCCCTCCACCCAACAGTCCTCCATCCGCCACGGAATGGAAACTCAATTGTTGGGACACTTGATGCCACTGTCGCTGCTGTCTCTGCTGTCGCCGTGTGCCGGCTGCCTTGTATCCTGTTTTGTCCTGTGCCTGTCAATCCTAACTGGGGAGTCCTCTCCCACCATCATCATCATCTCTCCCAGGACCGTGTTGCTCTTTCATTTTCGCATTTAAAAAGTTTTTAACAAGCCCACGGTGTAGATGCCCTGCAATAGGACCGTATGTTGGGGTATACCCGACTACCCTTGAGGTCCTAGCCAACCTGCCCTCCAACAGAGTACCTCTAGGTCTATACACTTCCTCCAAACCGGGACTCCTCATTCATTAGCTCGCCTTCTGGTTGTCGTGGTTGTGGCGCATGTTGGATTTGTGGAGTTTGCCATTTTTATTGTTTTTTCATTTCGCTGGAAAAATATATAAAGTTTTCAACTGTCGCAACTGGCAGGAGGAACCAGGCCAGGAACCAGGATGGAGGATGGAGGATGGAGGATGGAGGACGCAGGACTGCGTTGATTTGCATTTTTTGGCAGCCATCACTCGGTTGGGTTTGGGTTTTGCAGGGGGAGGACGTTGGCGGTGAGTCGAAATTAGATTATGCTAATTAAGGCATTGGAGGAGGAGGGCGTGGCACTGCACTGATTGACGCGGGCGGGGGGGAGGTGGTGCGACTGGGGGGGCCTTAAATTGCGGTATTTTTTTTTACTGGCAGCGGTTTAATATTCAATCAACAGCTGTCGCGAACTTTTTTATGGCCCGTGCCCAAGTTTCTTCTGGAGGACAAGTTTTCCCAGCTGGGGAAGCTCCAAAGAAGCAGACCGGAGACGGAAGAATCTCTGGGATTAATGTGCAAAGTGCAGTACGACTTGGTCCGACTTTTGTTTGTCTTTCGTCTGGCTGCGGGATAAGCTGGAATAACTAACTTTCAAACAAGGAGCCGCAATTAAAACCAAGGCACATCTGAATCTCAGCGCTCTAACCCCGAACCATCCGAACCACCCGCCGTAGAGTCCTGTCCTGCTGATTGATGTCCTGCCAGCCTCATCAACCCCTGGCGGATGGGGTTGGCAACCCTTGCGGCACACACTTAACAGCCACTTGGGTTGGCCAAACCTTATAACATAATTACAGCATATCAAACGGCGATAAGCCGTCCTCGAAGACCCCTGCCCCTCCCCGGGCCCTGCCACTGCCTGCCGAGCCACCCCCAAGGGCTCACCTGATGTGCATCCTCCCCTCCTCATTTTCGCGGAACTTCAGGTCCACCCTAGATCAACACCGCTGGCTGGAGCGCCCAAATCGGGCGATCATATTCGAGAACATGGAAATCCTCTAGAATCCATATGTGGCCCCAAGCGACGTCCATATCTTAGCCAATTCTTGTCCGATCCTTAAGAGGAGTACCTCAAACGAATTCTATTTGGATTCCCCATCATTCTGCATCAAAATATGGACCCCTTAATTTTTTTAAAATTTTTTTCATAATTTTCCCAGGGACTCCCTTGGAAATCCTCAAAATCCATATATAGCCCCAAGCGACATCCATATCTCAGCCAATTCTTATCCGATCCTTGAGAGAAGTACCTCAAACGAATTCTATTTGGATTCCCCATCATTCTGCATCAAAATACGGACCCCTTAATTTTTTTAAATTTTTTTTTAAATTTTCCCATGGACTCCCTTGGAAATCCTCAAAATCCATATATAGCCCCAAGCGAAAGCCATATCTCAGCCAATTCTTGTCCGATCCTTGAGAGGAGTACCTCAAACGAATTCTATTTGGATTCCCCATCATTCTGCATCAAAATATGGACCCCTTAATTTTTTGAAATTTTTTTCAAAATTTTCCCGGGACTCCCTTGGAAATCCTCAAAATCCGTATGTGGCCCCAGGCGATGTCTATATCTCAGCCAATTCTTGTCCGATCATTGAGAGGAGTACCTCAAACGAATTCTACTTGGATTCTCCATCATTCTGCATCAAAATATGGACCCCTTAATTTTTTTAAATTTTTTTCAAAATTTTCCCATGGACTCCCTTGGAAATCCTCAAAATCCATATATAGCCCCAAGCGACATCCATATCTCAGCCAATTCTTATCCGATCCTTGAGAGAAGTACCTCAAACGAATTCTATTTGGATTCCCCATCATTCTGCATCAAAATATGGACCCCTTAATTTTTTTAAAATTTTTTTCATAATTTTCCCAGGGACTCCCTTGGAAATCCTCAAAATCCATATATAGCCCCAAGCGACATCCATATCTCAGCCAATTCTTATCCGATCCTTGAGAGAAGTACCTCAAACGAATTCTACTTGGATTCCCCATCATTCTGCATCAAAATATTGACCCCTTAATTTTTTTTAAATTTTTTTCAAAATTTTCCCAGGGACTCCCTTGGAAATCCTCAAAATCCGTATGGGTCCCCAAGCGAGAGCGATATCTCAGTCAATTCTTGTCCGATCCTTGAGAGGAGGGTCTTAAACGAATTCTACTTGGATTCCCCATCATTCTGCATCAAAATATGGACCCCTTAATTTTTTGAAATTTTTTTCAAAATTTTCCCAGGGACTCCCTTGGAAATCCTCAAAATCCATATATAGCCCCAAGCGAAAGCCTTATCTCAGCCAATTCTTGTCCGATTCTTGAGAGGAGTACCTCAAACGAATTCTACTTGGATTCCCCATCATTCTGCATCAAAATATGGACCAGTTAATTTTTTTAAATTTTTTTCAAAATTTTCCCAGGGACTCCCTTGGAAATCCTGAAAATCCATATGTGGCCCAAAGCGAGAGCGATATCTCAGCCAATTCTTGTCCGATCCTTAAGAGGAGTACCTCAAACGAATTCTACTTGGATTCTCCATCATTTTGTATCAAAATATAGACCCCTTAATTTTTTGAAATTTTTTTCAAAATTTTCCCACGGACTCCCTTGGAAATCCTCAAAATCCATATATAGCCCCAAGCGACGTCCATATCTCAGCCAATTCTTGTCCGATTCTTGAGAGGAGTACCTCAAACGAATTCTACTGGGATTCTCCATAATTCTGAATCAAAATACAGACCCCTTAATTTTTTGAAATTTTTTTCAAAATTTTCCCATGGACTCCCTTGGAAATCCTCAAAATCCATATATAGCCCCAAGCGACGTCCATATCTCAGCCAATTCTTGTCCGAATTCTACATCTTTTTCCATTGGATATTCAATAATGTACCCCCTTCAGTCCTGAGTCCCGGCCCTGTGCTTCGTTTAACCCCTCACTCCTGCCCCCCACCCGCCACACACACACGCAGACATATGAACTTGTCGGCTTGTTGGTGACATGTCGTTGTGGTGTTAACGGTACATCGTTTGACTGCGAATTAAAATAATGTGCCACTTGTGGCTTGTGGCTCTCCGAGTGTCCAATGTGTGTGTGTGGAGGGCATGTGGCAGACAGACTCTCCCCCGTGCGGCCTCGTCCTCGGTGGCGTCGCCCCAAAAATTTCCCAAAATTTCATTTGCAACTTTGGCCAAATCGAATTTGAATTGAACCCTTTTTTGGGTGGCAGGTCCTTTCCATGAGTGGAGTGGAGTTCATAAGGACTAAGTACTATATGGTAATAGGGATCACGCATGTCAATATCCCAGGATATTTCACTAAGGACCTAAGGCCTTTGAGCTCCTCGGAGGGGCAACACTTTTGGAGATTTCTCACCTTTGGGTTTGCGTATTCGTATCTCAGATCTTTTGGGCACTTCAAAAAAAATCACAAAATAAAATACTAGGTCTTAACAGGATAAACACTCCGACAGGACTCGTAAGGATAACCTGAACTGCCGTCGATGACAGTTAAAAATCAAATGAAATGAATGCCAGCAGCCGCGCCAGCAGCAGAGCTCGTCCTGAGACCGAGACAGAAACAGAAACATCAGAGTCTGAATCAGAATCTGATTCCAGAGCCCAGAGCCAGGACTAGAGGCAGCCGAGGACGAACCCGAAACCGAAACCCGGGCCCGACTGCAGGACGAAGCGAACTCGGTTGCGATTTTAAAAATTATGAATTGTTGGAAATGAAGCGAGGCGTAAGTTCCTGAGGTGGTTTGGGTGGTTTGGGTGGTGGGTGTCCTGCCGGTGGGTGGTGCGCTCCAGCCGCTGTGACCATGGTGGTGCGCATCGGCAGCAGCAGCAGCAGGATGTTGGATGGATGCAAACCAACCCCCAGGATGATGGTCGGGTTGATCGTTGAAAACAAATCAGCATTTGGACGTCAATCAGGACATGGCCATGGGAATAATGGAAAACAATAATTTAAGTTATTCCTGATGGAAAGACCAGGAGGGGGGGGGAGGCTATGGAGGCCATGCCATGTGGATTAGAATATATCCGAGTGCAAGAAACTTTTTTTTTTTTTTATTTGAAAACAATGGCCAGCCAGGACTAGAACCAGGACCAGGACCAAGCAGGAGGAGGAGCAGGAGGAACAGTTCCCAGCAACGTTTTCAATTACCATCCAGTGGCGGATGCGGATCCTGGCACATTAGAACAATGGATGGTGCAATCTTTGTTGCTAAAACGACAGCAACACCACCCCCAACCAGGGGGGGAGGGGAAAAGCTTATAATTTCTATTACAATGAAAGCATGCGGATGTAAGCGGATGTGCGGATATGCGGATGTGCGGATGTGCGGATATGCGGATATACGGATATGTGTGGTGGAGCGGCCTTCTTGGTGAATTTTTTGCCGGGAGCGACTGGGAGCGACTTCATTAGCGACACCTCCCCACAAGCTGTTGCCAGGCGATTGCAGCGGGTGAGTGCACTGAGAGAAAAAATTGGATAAAAAAATTGAATAGAAACTATATTAGTTTATATAAGAGGGCAAGCAAACTCTTAACCCCCAAGAAAACCTCTCCATTTATCAACCTTTTTTCTAAGAACCTGCCTCTAATTTTTTCTCAGTGTAGTACATGTGCAGCCCCTGTGGCTGCTTTTTAATTCCCATTTTCTTTTTTTTTTTTTTTTGCACTGAGCTTGTTTGAAATAAATACCACACTTTTCGGTTGGGTGTATTCTTTTCCTCTTCTTTTTTTTAAAACATGGCCTGCCCCTTACCCTCCCTCCCACCCACAGGCTCGCTCCTGGAAAAAAAGCTGCCATGGCTGCACATCAAACGTCAGCACGGAAGGAAGCTGTAGCTGTCCGAGGGGGGGGGGTGGTCTGAGGTGGGTGGATGGATGGGGGTACGTGGCAGAAGTGGCATTGTCTAGTGGCCAAAAACGAAACCTATCCCCTGCCAAAGCGGAGGCTGTGAATGTTTACACTTTGGATTTGGTTCTGGTGGTCCTCCCCCCGCCCCTCCCCCCATTGAGTCCTTTTTTTATTCCCGCACCCGGTGTAGGACTCTCCTCTAGAGATTTTAAATGTATCTCGGTTAACGGTTGTTATGGCAATGGGCGACAGGTCGGTGGGGGTGGGGTGGACTCCAGCGTGTAACAGCGGCTGTTGCACTTGGAAAGGATTTTTCTACGCCAGGGAGGAGGGGGGGAGTGGCAACAAAAAAAAGAAATAAAATAAAAAAGGATTCAAAGCAGAAACTCGATTGTGTTGCATACTTTTAGGCCATCGAATATATTTTTTTTTATTAATTCTTTGAATATTCTTATTTTTTTTTTGAAAAGTGGAGGAGTGGATCGCTTCCTGCCCTCCAGTCCTTTAGTCTCTCCAGTTTTTACGTTGCGATGGTGTCCTTAGTTCGCAGTCCTTTTTACCGTATTGTTGCATGCAACGTCTCCCACATGCCACACAATTTGTGCCACTTTTGTGTTGCGCATCCATTTCCGCTTGGCTGCCACCCACCACCCACCACCCACCGACCAGGACCAGGACCAGGACCAGGACCAGGGGCACCCCCTGCCACATTATCCTTCCTTTTATTATCATCATTTTTTTCTTTTTTTTTTCCAAACATTTCACTCGAGCGTTGATTGAAATGTTCGCCGAACGCACAAACATTTGCCAAGGATGGCAAGGATATCGATATTTTAAAGGATATACAGTGTTACTTTTTTGTTATCCTTTAAAAAAATTATTAATATTTTTAAATATAAACTCTGTAGATCCTTGTTTCAAATATGCATCCCTGTTAGGATTTATTTGTTTGGCTCACTACCTACCTCCCCCCTCCTCTTAAGGACCTTCATTTGTTAGATTTTAAAATTTCGTCCTGTCGTCCTTGTAGTCCTGGTTTTACGCTGATTGTCATTTGCTTTTAGCCTCACCACCCACCGTCATTTATGAGTGACTTCCGTCCATCAGCCCATCCATCCATCAAGGATGGCCCATGGGCATGGATTTTTTTGGGCCTTTTTCTTTTGTTTTTCCTTCTCGCCTTACCATTGGCTTTTCAATTTCCCCACAAAAATTATCCTCCGGCTAATGAATTAGTTGGCCGGATATTTGAAACTTTTATTATTTTTGAGAAGAATTCTACATTCATGCTTTTAATGAGACGCTTGCAACTCCTCCAGGACCACCATCTGGAGAGGCTTAAGTGCTGTCGGCGTCGGATTTGCCAAATATCCGTCAGATACTTGAGCGACAAAAGAAATGCTAGCACTCTCAGGAGCAGGATACACATCCACATCCATTTCCATATCCCTGCACTCACGCAGACTGTAATCGCTTTATGTGCGCTTTGTTGACAATTGTCAAGTGGCTTTTGGGTGGGACCAGGGACCAGGGTGGTGGGATTGACGAGAGTGGGTTACAAAGCCGCCCTCCCCCCTGCCAGATCCTTGAAGGAACATCATCGTCACCACATGTTGCCGTTGCCGGCAACAGATGCGCTGGATTGCAAATAACTTCAGGTAAAGTGGGCACTGAGAACAAAGCAGGTGTGGGTTTGAAAGCATATCCTTGCAAAAGTTCCTATTTCTATAGAGGTCCTGTCAAAGTTAACTGTTAACCGGAAGCTCCATTTTTTTCTGTGTAACTTGGCAGCACTTTATTGAGACAGTCAGTCGTTTCGTTCAATTTGGTGTCTCTGATTCGCCTGGGGGAAACGACAATCCGCCAGGACATGGCAAGGCATCCAAACAAATAAAGAGACAAATAAATTGGCAAACATATTTGACGACAATTCGTGTCAATTACTTCTAAACGAGACTATTTCGCAGAAAGCAATTCGAAACGGTTTAGTTGCATTGATTCTCAAAATATTTGTCTTATTTCTGAAATATATTTGCTAAAGGAAGCGACACCCCCAACCCTAACCCCCAACCACCAGGTCCTGGCTACGCCCCTCCATGCGGATCAGCCAATGGCAGGCGAGCGCTTAGGAAAACTTTCGTGTTTTAGTTGGCGCTTTCCTCGCCGTTCGTTGCCTTTCGTTAGTTTTCACTCCACCCACATAGTTTGCCGGAAAAAAGAACGCCAAGAAGTCCTCCTATCACCGCCAGGGGGCGGAGGATACAAAAAAATGGGAGGGCTAGCCCTAGCCCACATGTGGGATCTGCCTCTTGGGGCTCTTTAGCTTTTATTTCTTATTTAAAACATAAAATAATAAGATTTTAAATACTTTTAGAATATAAAGACAATGAATTAGATGTTTTTAAATTCTAAAGACTAATTTCTATATTTTTTTTTAAGAATTCAAATATTAAACATTAAAAAAATACATTAATACATTATACATTACATTGAAAAAATTAGAAACTATAATAAATAAAAGCTATCCAGCTCTTAAAATGTAAAATATTATCAGGCTTACTTTCAAGCTTAATTAATAATTTTTATATAGCTTTTATACTTTAATATTAATACTTAAAAGTTAAGATAAGAACTTAAATTTAAATTCAAATTCAAAGTTGATGGGCAGCACTTTTAGACATCGTTTTGAAAAGCCAGAGCTGCCAGACCGTTGAGAGCTTTGCCGCTACCCGGTCACACTGCCATGCACAGACCCGCCGTGCAGAAATTCTGTTGTTATTAATTATATTTTTTGCCCTGTATTCGCCTACTTCCGTCTCAGATCCGTACGAGATTCGAAGGGCGGAATGCGGCTCATCAAGCCGGGCTGGGTGCACCACGATGGTGAGTTGCCGCCACAGTCCATACGACTTACGACGCACAGCCGGCTTTTGCCGTCCGGCGGATCCCGCCAAGGGACCAAGTACTTGGAATTACCCTTCTCTATCCTTCTCCCCGCAGACAAGCAGATCTTCTCAGTGGACATTCACCAGGACTGTACTAAGTTTGCTACCGGAGGGCAGGGAAACGACTGCGGTCTGGTGGTGATATGGAACCTGCTGCCGCTCCTCTCCGAGAAGGCGGAGCACGATGCCAGCGTGCCAAAGATGCTCTGCCAGATGGACCAGCACCTGGCGTGCGTCAACTGCGTCCGGTGGTCGCACAGTGGGCTGTGCCTGGCGTCCGGCTCCGACGACAAGCTCATCATGATCTGGCGGAAATCGGCGGGCTCCAGCGGGGTCTTCGGTTCCGGCGGCATGCAGAAGAACCACGAGTCCTGGAAGTGCTTCCATACGTTGCGCGGCCACTTTGGCGACGTCCTGGACCTGGCTTGGTCGCCCAACGACCTCTATCTGGCCAGCTGCAGTGTGGACAACACAGTGGTCATCTGGGACGCCAGGGCCTTTCCCCACGTGGTGGCCACGCTGCGGGGCCACACTGGCCTGGTGAAGGGCGTCTCCTGGGACCCGGTCGGTCGCTTTCTGGCCTCCCAGTCTGACGACCGCAGCATCCGCATCTGGAGGACTGACGGCTGGACCATGGAGCACAAGATCACCGAGCCCTTCGAGGAATGCGGCGGCACCACGCACATCCTTCGCCTCTCCTGGTCCCCGGACGGCCAGTACCTGGTTTCGGCGCACGCCATGAACGGCGGCGGTCCCACTGCCCAGATCATAGAGCGCGAAGGCTGGAAGTTCGACAAGGACTTTGTGGGCCACCGCAAGGCCGTTACCTGTGTGCGCTTCCACAACTCCATCCTGCGACGCCAGGTGACCGATGGCAAGCCGCTCCAGTACTGCTGCCTGGCTGTGGGCTCCCGCGACCGCTCCCTCTCTGTTTGGCTGACCGCCCTCCAGCGGCCCATGGTGGTCATACACGAGCTCTTCCACGACAGCGTCCTAGACCTGTCCTGGGGGACAAAGGAGTGCCTGCTGATGGCCTGTAGCGGGGACGGTAGCATCGCCTGCCTTCAATTCGACGCCACAGAGCTGGGCACTCCGGTGCCCGACGGGGACAAGAGCGCCATCATACAGAAGCTGTACGGCATGGCGTACGGCGACGGCCTAGCTGCCGCCAAAGCCTCCACAATGGAGCACCCGGAGAGGCTGCTGAAGCCGCAAAGCGGCGAGCAAGCACCCATCCTGGAGACGCGACCCGTCAACTTCCCCATCTCCACGGAGTCCAGCCAGCGTCCGATCAGCCAGCAGACGGAGACCAGGACCAAGGATGGCAAGAGACGGATCACACCAATGTTCATACCCCTGCACGAGGACGGACCCACCTCCCTGACCACCAGCATTGTGTCCAGCTCGGTGGCAGGCAGTGGAGCAACGGCCAGCAGAGCGGTGTCCTCCACGGCGCCGACGGAGAGTGCTGCCACGCCGCTGATGCCGGAGCCTCTGGTGAGGACCGAGCACGGGCGGCTAGATTCCAGGTGAGGATTTCCCTTTCGCCCTTTTCCCCTTTCCCCCCATACTGAATGATTTTTTTCCAGACTCAAACCCCAGCCTAGCTCCAATCAACGCCGTCAGTCACAGCCCGTAGATCCCGCCGACCTGCCACGCTTGCCCCGGGTGGAGGAGCACCAGAGCTCCACGACCGGGCCGCCGGACCTTCAAGTCACACCAACGGGGAAGAGCGAGTTCGTCAAGGCGGCTCTAGACTATCGCGTCCACGTCCAGAACGGCTACCTCAAAACCACGCACGGCATGCTGGCCAAGATCACGGCATCGGATTCCACCGAAATGCTATGGGAGTTCCTGGCTGGATCGCCGGTGGTGAACCTGAATCTGTGCGAAAAGTACGCCATGCTGTGCTCCCTCGACGGCAGCATGCGGCTGGTCTCCATGGAGACGGGCTGTCCCGTTTTTCCCGCCATTTCCCTCATCAGTTCCGCCGTGCACTGTACCTTTGTGAGTAGCCAGGACGACGGTGGTGTCTATCGGAAGGTGGCATTGAAACCCGTTTCTTTCAGAGCCCGGATAACCGCTTCGTCGGCGTGGTGACAAACTGCGGGATGCTGCGGGTTTGGGATATCGCCCGGCGATCCGTCAATCTCGCCGGCGAATTCACGCAGCTGCTCTCCGCCCATGGTCAGGCCATTCAGTTCTCCGTGACGGACTACGGCCTGCCGCTGATCGGCTTCGCCAACGGCCAGGCCTACACGTACTCGACCAGCCTGCAGTCGTGGCTGGTGCTGGCCACCAAAGACGCCATCATGTTCCACGGCATCAAGGGCACCCTGCCCCGCGACATGGAGGGGATCAGCCAGAAGTTCCCGGTCCTCGGCATGCAGGCCAGCAGCTCGAACTACTTCTGTTTCAGTGCCGGAATGGAGCTGTAAGTTGAGGTACTCATCCCCTTGGGGGTTACTCTCTCATTCCTGGTTCGATTTACAGGCGCAAGGCGGAGGCGTGGCAGCAAAGTGCCAAGATGGTGTTCATCGAGAACCAGATAAAGCTCTGCGAGACGCTAGAGTCGCTGGACGAACTGAAGCACTGGCACCGGATGCTCACCTTCCAGCTGGCCACCTATGGAACGGAGAAGCGCATGCGCCAGTTCCTGGACGATCTGCTGGAGGATCCAGAGCCTGGAATACCGCAGGTATGCTCCCTCCCTCCCTTCTCGATCCTCGCGGTCTAAGAGTTTCGTCCCGTTTCAGTTCGTTCCCAAGCAGGAGCTGATGCAGTGCGTGCTTGACACCCTGAAACCACATTCCCAGTGGCAGCTGATGTACGCCGAGTATGTGGACATGTTCAAGACGAGCAAATCGCAGCGGCAGGAGGAGGTGTTTGCCACACCCAAGGCCCCGCAACCGAAAGACGATGCTCCCACTGAATCCGCGTCTGGGGCCGAGGCAGCCAGCGCGGCGGAAAAGGCCACCGCGGAAGCGCCACCGCAAGGTAGAAAAAAAAGAACCCGAAAACGAATCATATAGCCTCGCCAAGCACAACCCATCCGGCCATCCACTGCATGTTCCATGATTTTTGTTATTTGTTTTTCATCCTTACTAACCCAGTCATAAACCATTAACCTCCAATCCCTGGGCTACCCAGACCACGGTTTTTTTTTTCTAATAAGATTCGATTTATTTTCCACACAAGCTGCAGAAGGATCGCCTCCAGCGGCGACTAGCACGGGGGTGACCAACACCACCAGTACGACCAGCTCTAGCTCGTCGTTGGGCTCCTCCTCCACCAGCTCCTCGTCATCGTCGTCGTCATCGGCGCCGGCAGTGGGCCTCTCGCCGGAGAACCCTGTCCTGGACGATGATTCGCACACCGTCTGCATAGAAGACTCATCCTCGCTACCTCCGCTGCTGGAAGCCTCTACCTCGCCACCGGCTAACCCAGCCCCCGTATAAATTAGAGGAAGTCTTAGATTTTTTTTTATTTTTTATATTTTTTTTTTTTTAATATTTAATTTAAAATCAGTTGTATAATTGAAGTAATGGTAAAAGCATGATGATTAGGATTCTGAATCTAGTAGCAAACACTAAGCTGCACTCTCTATTGCGTGGGATTTACAATCAGCGGATAGCATTATTTAGCAGATAATACTAATTATTATGATAGGCAATTAAATCAGTCAAGAACTAAGCTTAGTTAAAGGATTTAAGACTTAAAGTATTGTATAATTTTGCAGAGAATTTGTAAAATATATATATATATAGCCGTTAAAATACAGAGATAGTCATAGTAAGAAAAACAAAAAAAAAAAAATTGATTAAAGCCCACAAACGATATATATCTTTAGATTTGTACTCTATACTGTGTACTAGATCCGGGCCGGTAGTTATACGGGCCGTAACAATTACTAAATCCTTTTACTGGCTACACCGTATTACATACATACATATGTAAATATGTATCCCTATCCTTTATATAACGTGTATGATACTCCTCCTTCCTCCTGGTGGTTATGCTTAATTCTAAACAAAATATATTCTTATCCTGAGCGCACGAGGGCTACAAGCGAAAGCTAGCTCCAAGGTCTCTAACTCGACCGTTATGGGTATATTGGTTGGGGTTGTGATTGAGGTGGTATCCATTATCCGACGACAGCCGCTGGAGCTATAGCTGGTGCTATAGCCGGTGCCGGAGCTGGGACAGCGGCCGCCGGCGCCTCGGGCTATTGGGCGTTATAGTGTGGACCTGGCGTTGGCACGCTCTTCAGCGGCGAATCGAACTCGATTGGCGGAGCCTCGATAACAGGCGTCTCCGCCTGCCCGGCACCGATCCGCTCCTGCAGCGTCTCGTACAGCTTGTGGATGTGCTCGTTGTGGGCGGTCGTCGGCTGCATGGCCTTCATCAGGGTGGCGAGGCGTCCGGCCGGCAGCTTGTTGTGGACGTACCAGAGCAGCTTGAGCATGTGTCGCGAGGTTACGTTCTCCCGGGTCAGGCCGGCGAAGATGAACTCATCGAAGAGGGTCGTGCAGAAGTCCTCGGTGGAGAACTCCTCGCTCATGGGAATAAGCAGGGCGATCTGGAAGGAGGGAGACTCAAGGAGCTGCACCAGGCACACAACACTCTCTACTCACCAGCGAGTGCAGGAAGGGATCCTCGTAGGCGCGATCGTCCTTGCAGGCGGAGAGAATGGCCAGCACCCGGAGGACGCCCACGCGATCCTTAAGCCGGGCTGTGTGTAGCGTGTAGTACATGGCCAGGATGCTGGCAACGGAGCTCTCCCGGATGTAGGCCTCCACGGCGTCCGGAGCCGGGCCCGAGTGCTCGATGGTGGTCAAGGCGGACTCTCGCTCGTCCGGTGGCAGCTTTCCGTGCAGACTGCGGCACTGATCGTCCACTATCAGCGACATGAGGGCGGGCAGGAACTTGGTCACCACCTGGCAGTCCAGCTTCGGCTCCTTGAAGTCCTGCGAGTCGATCATCACCCAAGCACTCAGCCCCAGGGCCAGCATTCTCAGCAGAAGGATGAGGATCTGGTTGTCGCGCGGCATGCCCTCGTTGTTGATCAGGTGGTGGAGGATCTTGATGGCCGACGTGGCCAGAAAGTTGATGGCATAGGGGTCGCACAGGGTCATGGAAAGATCCCCCAGCACCTGCTCCTGGCCGCGCTTGATGTTGTCGAGGAAGCCCTGCAGCTCGCGTGACCGCTTGATGTCCACGTTCTTCTCGCGGATGCAGGCATCCAGGCACCAGGTGAACTTGTGGCAGGGATCAATCGAGATGATCTCCTGCACCTCCAGATCGTGCAGGGCCATCAGCAGTTCGGCGCGCAGCGTGCAGTAGTGGACGTTGCGGGTGCGTAGGAAGAGAGTGCGGAGGAACTGCAGCACCATGTCGTACAGCTTCACGCTCGTCCCGATCATGTTGGCCAGCTTCTGGACCACCTCGCCCTGCCGGCGCACCTTCGGCGTTGGTTGGAAGAACAGGTTGTTAAGGTTGGTGTGGTCGAACAGAATGTGCTCCTTCTCGCGAATGTACTGGGACAGCAGCGGCGACACCTCGTCACCAAACAGGCTCTGGTTGTCGCGCCAAATCTGTCGCTTCACCTCCGTGTCCGTATCGGCGTACAGCTCACGGTCCCGGACAAGGATCTTTAGGTATTTGTCGTCGATGTGCTGGGTGTTCCGCAAAATGGCCATCACCACTGGTCGCAGGGACTTAACCCGCACCACCGGGAAGCTCTTCACCAGCAACTCCTTCAGCTTCTTGTCGCGTTCCCGAGCCTCCTTCTGGCCCAGATCGTTGATGTGGGCGATCAGCTTGTCCCGCAGCTCCTCCATCAGTGACGTGTGGAAGTCCAGCCGCCGGACACCGTGCAGGTCGAGGAGCGGCAGCATAGGCCGCAGTGACGGCAGCAACACCCCATTCTCCAGCTGAAATGGTTACACAAAGCGATGGGGAAAGTGACGAATCGAAAATGTTTCTTTTTGGCGCGTTTTTATGGTGGCAACGTAAACAAACCTGGAAACTCTCGATGGCCTTCAGGGGGTCCGTGCAGGAGGTGAGGGCCTCGCGCAGGTACGCCTGTCCAGGTATATTCACGTCCTCTAAGCCAGTTCCGTTGTTTTTCGCCGGTGTGCTCATGGTCATAAACAATTCCGCTCTGTTTTTTTTTGTTTTGTTTTTTTTTTTTGATATTATTATGGTGGGGGTGGGGGCGAAAACAATGGTGCAGGGTTGTGTGTGTCTATCCGATAGTTATCGATTTGGCAAACAGTGTCGCTGTCGGAGGACGATAACCAGCCACCATTGGTCCATCTCTAGCGCGAAATAAGTAACGCCAAAGCAAAATCAAAAGAAAGCAAAAATAATACAGAGACCTTCGAGCGGGAAGTTGATCCTGACTGCCATCTGACATTAGCCCGTCTCCTGGCAACTGGGATATCGGTCGTTGAGGGGCTTTGTTGGCGAGTGAACCTTGTGGGGGGAACACTCCATGTTTGTATGTGTTTGTGTGCCAGTGCATGAGTGTGTGCGTGGATCTTGGCGAGAATCTTTAGAGCTCGGCAGTGCCTCGAAAGCGAGTGGAGTTGTAAACATAAACAAACCACACTAAATGTGAGTGCGGAGCTGGAGTTCGCAGCTCGGTACAGCAGAAGCAACATGTCCTCGTCGACGCCAGAGCGCAAGCGCTACCACAAGGACAACGCGCCCACGGACGATATTCTGACACTGATCAACCTGGTGCGCCAAAATCCGGCGCTCTACAACTACAAGCTCCAGCCGAATCAGCGCCGCCGTTCCGATGTCCTCAGCGGCTGGCAGGAGGTGGCCCAGCAGATCGGCAGTGAGTACATGGTCTAGACGAGTGTCCTGGAAGGGCACTTATTTCTTTGTTTTCTTTGTCTCCCCCTAGACAAGTACACCGTGCAGGAGGTGAGGCGAAAGTGGAAGAACCTACGGGACACCTACCATCAGTACCGACTCCGTACGCCCAAGTGCATCGAGGGCCGGCTCTCCAAGTGGCGCTACGCCAAGGAGCTCGACTTTCTGTCGACGGTGTACCAGCCCAAGCTGAAGTCCCACCGCACCACGCTGAGCTATGACACGACGAGCAGCAGTGGAAACGCTGGTGTTGGCACCGGGGTCGCCAACAGCACAACTCTGCCCATCGGGGCCATGCTCCACCTGAAGCAGCACGTCGAGGACGAGGATGACGAAGTGGTGGATGATGATGTGCAGTCGGATCCGGATACAGCCACCGTTTCGTCCCACCACGGAGCCTCGCAGATCACCCTGGTTAGCGAGGAGGCGGAGACCTTCATCCTGACCGCCTACGAGGAGGGCGTAGCGGATGACTCAGTATCGCAGCACCACCATCAGCAACACAGCCACCACCAGCACCACCACCACAGTCACCACCAACCGCACCATCACCAGCACCACCACCACAGCCACCACCAGTCGCAGCACGACCGCAGCATCTCCAGCATCGAGCTCTCGCAACTGGCACATGACGACGACGTGGTCGATGATGTGGACGACGAGGACGACGACGTAGACGGGCATGTGGTGGACATTGTCAAGCATGAGTTGGATGAGGACGGAGCCACCGGAGCGGAGGTCGACTACGAGGAGGTGTGTCTCTACGAGGAGGCCAGCGGCGCCCATGTAGACTGTGAGATGGGCGTGGGAGATGCCGTCGATGGGAGCAGCGATGTGGTGTCGCTCGGCAAGGGCTTCCACTACATCGACGCCCACGACTTCTGCATATCGGACATAGAGCCCCAGACGGTGCGGTCCAGCAAGCACCAGTTCCAACCGTCGACCAGCGCCTCCAACAGTGTGCTGGCGGGCGGAGCTGTGGTGGGCGACGGCAAGCTGAAGAATCTCACCCTGGTGACGACCACAGCGACAGGTGGAAATGCAACAGGAGGTGGGTGTTGTTGGACCTTTTTGGCATTGAGCCAGTTGGATAACCTCTTTTTTTCTCTTAGGAGGCCCCCAAGGAGTGTCGCGGACAGATCAGATTTCGCTGGTGGACGTCACCGAGGCCACCAGCACCAGTGTCACCATTTCCAGTACTCCGGCCGTATCCCTGAATGCTGCCACAGTGACAACGACGCCGGCGGCAGCTTTGTGTAACACCACATCCTTTACGGCGACGCCAACGACGACGATCCTCCAGCTGCCGAACATGAACTGCGGGGGCGGTGGAGGCGGCGGCGGGACGGGCGCTTCCGTTGGATGCGGCGGAGTGCCATTGTCCGTGAGTGCGGCCAGCAGCAGTACCACCAATCTGATCAAGGATGAAGAGTTCCAGCAACAGCAACAGATTGCCCATGCCCTGGCCAAGCGGGACGAACTGGATCTGTTCTTCGATTTCCTCAAAAAGAAGATGCAGTGCTTCAGCAAGACCCAGATCACGCACATCCAGATGGAGTTCCTCAACTGTGTCAGTCGACAGGAGTCGGCCGAGCAGGACGGCAAGGACTAGATTCCGATACCCCCCGGTCGTCGCCCCACCATCCCCAGTAGTTGTGTAGTTTATTTTTTTCAGTGTTTAGGATTAGGACTCGTACCGTTTACCAGTTTACAAGATTCCGGACCCAGTTGCGGGCTCTTCGGCTAGCTTTACCGCCCATCCCCTCCATCCCTTTGTCACGTTAAGGGCCGCCCTCGTTAGGAGGCCCCCCGTAGCCCCGTCTTTGCGCCACCCGCACCAGCCAATCGCTTTTGCATACTGTTTATATGTAGCTCAGCGTTATATACAATTATTTTCTTTAAGTGTAAAATAAAATCGATTCTCGAAAGATTACCTGCCGGATGTTATCCCAGATCTGGGCCCAGAGACCTCTGGACCCACCAGAGACCGCGATCCCCCAGCGAGAAGACTAATCTTCGCTATCCGCGTGACATTTATTGGGCACGGCAGTCGTCCAGGTCCGAGATGGCGAATGAAAACAAACTTAAACGTATCGCTAGTGGCTAGGTTAGTGGTGTGTAGCTACCTTCGGGCATCACGCTCCCAGCGCCTTATCCGACTGCTGCTTGGCGATCTGCTCCGAGTTGAAGTAGATGACGGTGATGGTGATGTCGTCGCGATAGAGACGCACCACGTCCTTCGGTAGCGTCAGGTAGTACGAGATCTTCGAGTGCTCGATGCCGTAATCGGTGGCTCCCAGAGCGTTACGGATGAGATGCGTGGCCGCGTTCGAGTCTATGGGCTTGCGGGTGAGTCCAGCTCTGAAAGAAGATGATGTAGAACGGGACAATGGCTCTGGGGTGTCAGACCAACTCACTTGCGCTCAGCCAGCTGGGCGGAGATTTGCTTCAGCGTCACGTTGTCGCCCTCGGGAAGACGCATCGGCTCGAGGATCTTCTTTGAATCGATGTGCTCGCCGACGAGGCTGACCACCTCGCTGGGCGAGAGGAAGTCCCACAGGCCGTCGCTGGCGATGACTAGAAACTTGTCGTTGGGGCCCAGCTGGTGCTGCTGGACGTCCGGACGAGCGGTGAGGTACGGGGGCGTGTAGTAGTTCGGCGCCATGGCATGCTCTCCGAACATGGGCACCACCTTGTTCTGCATGACGTCGAGGGACCACTTGTAGCGGAAGTCGCCAAAGGCACGAAGCGGAGCTAGCTGGCTGAGAAGACGTCCATTGCGGATGACCGTCTCCTGTTCCTGTCTGGGATGCTCGGCCAGGATGCGGCGAACCTCGCCTATGTTCTCGGTATTGTGCTCAATGTTGAGCTTCTTTGGCGTCCACTGCTGGGTCTGCGGGTCCAAGATACCCAGCACGGCGCCGCAGTCCCCCGTGCTGGCCACGTGCAGCTGTAGTCCCTCCAAGTGGACCAGGCAGGCGACGGCTCCTGAAAGGGATTCGAGTTAGTGGATGGGCTTCGAACCGGAAGCGAAATGGATGTCCCACCTGACAGAGCCACTCCCATGGTGCGCAAATCGCTGACTGCCAGGGCCTCCTCCGAGAGGCCATCATCCAGCTCGAGGAAGGCGTGCACCAGCTCGCTGGCCACATCCCGCTGCGGCGTCTCGCACAGCTGCTTGATGTACTTCTGGAAGCTGGCCTCGTAGATCGGCTTGATTTCGCTGACAAAGTCCACATTGTCGTTGTGGCACTTGAGGAAGGACTGGCTGCTGCATCCCTTCTTCACCTGGTCCCGGAGCACTTGGCGCGGCAGTGTGGCCGCAGACACGTACCGCAGAAGGCGTTTGGACACCACCTGACCGCAGGCAGCTCCTCCGTGCCCGTCGAAAATGCCGCATATGAAGCCATTTCGGTGGAGCAGACTGGCCTCTGTGCGTGAGTCCTCGCAGGGGGAGTTGGAGCCCAACTGGTTGGTCTCGTAGCTCCGTATGATACCATCCACGGGGAAATTGAAAACGAACTCGTTCTCCCTTAGCACCAGGTTAACCTGTGGGACATGGAGGGACATGAGTTAATGGACTTCCTGAGGATTAAGCTCTCTAATAGTATCTTGTGAGTTTTGTCGACAAACCTCCACCATGTCGGCTTAAATAATGAATCTATTTTCTATGACCAGTTTCTATAGAGGATTGGGAGCTAATCCTATGGCTGGGGTGATTATTGTTAGAAGTAATACTAGTAGAAGGGTAAAATAACACCACAGGTGTCCACACCTGTCGATAGCAACAGAAGAATTCCAAGAAAGAGGGGAGATATTACATTTCTGTAAAATGTGGCTGTAACTCCAAAAGTCCAATCCCATATCTGGTTTCTGATCCTACTTTTAAGGGACTTATATAAGACCTTTTTCAGATCTACTCCCCGTACATCCTATCCTCAATAACCGGCAATAATCAGCACTGGGATTCAACTTACATCGTACGGACTCAGCTGGGGCAGTTGGGACAGGAAGCGCAGGGCGTTCAGGCTGAAGTCCTTGACATTGGAGCGCACACAGCTGGCGGCGTCGTTTATGGCAAACCTAAACATCTAGACGAGTAGACTACGGGATATATAGGTTCTATATGTTAGCTCCACCCGTTTTGCTGCAGCTATAATTAACGGTAATAATATTTCGGATTCCGTAACCTTGCGCGCACGTTGGAAATTGGCGTAGAGCGAGCGGGATGGCTGGAAGGATGCACCAGGCGGGTGGTGGGACGAGACCGATACGAAGCGGAAGACGAAGAAAGTCAAAACTGGAGTCGGTGGTGGGGAACAGAGGACGTAGGACGGAGGATAGCCCGAAGACAATAATAAATACGGAAATCAAAGACACCAGAGAGACCGGATAGCCCGACCGGCGCCTTTTCAGTTTTCCTTTGGGATAAACACGGCTCCCATAGAGTGAGAGAATGTGGGGTCGTGCCAACGTGCGAACGATCCGGCTATCTGATTTTGTACTTTTGCGTGCGAAAGTACGGGCAATTTCGACGGAAAACAAATGTATAATGAATATGAAACATATATACAAATGAAACAGCTGTTTGGGGGCTGCCACATATGGGGAATGGCTCACTTGTCCGGCAGCTCTGGTTGGGGCGCTTACCTGCTGCCACCGATAAGTTATCGGTTCCACTCCCACCACTAAACAATTTGACTGTACAGTACATTGACAAAAACACATACCTATCTATTTACATATATAACACTTGATATAAATAAACATATTGAAAGGGTTTGTTTTGTGTATTACGTGTCTGTATTAGACTCCAAACACGATCCTTTTGGATCTGTAAACAGTGCGCTAACTGGAGAACCGTGGAAAAACCTGACGGGGGCGCACGCACACACCTGCAATCGTGGAAGCAGAGTTGAAGCAAACGAAGTGGTTACAGGCGGAGAGTGTGTAGGAGGACCCAACACCCGAACCACAGACACAAGAATACGTGGGCGACAAAGAGGACTTGGTTGACCAGGAGCAATGGCTGGATCCGCGCTGCGACGCCTAATGGCAGAATACAAACGTAAGTCCGGGAGCGAAGTCCACAGGCAAAGTTCTTCTGCAGCTAATTAGCATTTACCACCTCCAGAGTTGACACTCGATCCGCCCGAGGGCATTGTGGCCGGACCCATCAGCGAGGACAACTTTTTCGAGTGGGAGGCACTAATTGCGTAAGTCTACCTGTCCACACGGACCTGCGGAATCCCCTCCAGAATAATCGTAACCTGTTCTTTGAACCTTGAAGCGGACCCGAGGGCACTTGCTTCGAGGGCGGCGTCTTTCCGGCTCGCTTAGTCTTTCCGCCCGACTATCCGCTGAGTCCGCCAAAGATGAAGTTCACGTGCGACATGTTTCATCCCAACATATTCGCCGATGGCCGAGTCTGCATATCTATACTGCATGCCCCCGGCGACGATCCCATGGGCTATGAATCGTCCGCCGAGCGATGGAGTCCCGTGCAGAGTGTTGAGAAAATCCTATTGAGTGTGGTTAGCATGCTGGCAGGTAAGTAGCTTGTTCCCGGAAGGACTATGTTATCTGAGGCCACTTGAGTTCACCGCCAACCTCGCCAACAGAACCCAACGACGAGAGTGGTGCCAATGTCGATGCAGCTATCATGTGGCGGGAACGGAGAGACGAGTTCAATACCATCGCCCGACGACTCGTCCGCAGAACATTGGGACTGCCCACATAGATGGCAATTCGTCCACGGACTGGCACTGGAACTGGTTAGCCCACACTCAGACACCCAGACTCCGCCACCAACCCAATACGATCCCATACCAACCCGATTCCTGGATAGCGCCTAGCGAAACCGAAACAGAACCGAAAGTGAAAACCGAAGTGAAAAAATCAGCAGACATGACGAGTTAACCCACAGTTCCAAACAACACCCTAAGACGTTTCAAATTAGCAAAAATCAAGAGGCCTAGCAATAAAATCGACTGTTAAACAACCCAGACAGCAGTGCGTCCCGTCTAGAGTTGTATTCCCCGGAACTACTGATAACGAAAGGCCTATTAGCAGGCTGTTTGGAGAGACCATAACTCATTTGGATTATAGAACTTCAGTTGCCCAATGGCCCAAAAGTATCCCTAAATTTTGAGATTGTAAAATTCAAGTTTTCTAAACGATAAAAATTGTTTTTGCGTGTCAGTCGTTCTCTGAAATACTCGTCGCAGCCCTTCATAGAACGGCCCGTTTGAGCCTTTTTCTCTATATATCCTGCTGCTCTGTAAATCTTTGATTAAATAGTTTAAAGACAACCACACACAATTGTATATAACGTGAAAACTTTTTTTTTTTTTTTGTTTTTGGTGTTTCAGCGAGTCATATAAGTGTAAAAATATATGTATTTTTTGTCAAATGTGGAACAATGTGAAAGATGTGTGTCTAGTAAATAGGAAAAAACAGTTGTAGCTTTCTTCAGGGCCGAAGAATTCCCTTACATTCTCTTTTTGTAACCATTCTCTGTAACGTGTCCAATGCACAAAGGTCACTATACACTTTACACCCCTAAAAGGGAAGGCGCACACACAAGCTTCTCAAACTTGTAGTTTCTGTTTATTATTATGCATTACGATTGGTACATTTAGATTAAATATATGTATATAAAATAAGGCTAAATCGATAAGGTGCAATGGACAGACAGACCACGTCTGTCATCCATTGTCCAGTTCCACTTCCATTGTCCACAAAATCCTAAATTGTTTCTATGTATTCATTATATATATATATATGTTCTACCACGCAATGTTGTAAATGTCTTATTTTGGTTAAGTAAATTGATTACAGTGTACCCTGATAAGGCATGTGTATATAAGGTGCGTGCACTCTTCATTTTTTGTCTTAAATTAAATTGTAATTAATAACAGACTACTAATCAATGCTAGTGTTGCGGGATTTACAAGGTGCCTGGGCCTTCTATCAAAGCTAGGATAGTAGCTTCCTACAGTTGCGGTTTGGATCCCCTAGCTTAGATAAGTGGGTATATAAGCATGGAGATACTAGACCCCATATATGTATAGGGTATTAAAAGTGTAACATAACCATGTGATATTTTTTCTGTTTATTTCCATTACCGGCAATTAGAGTGGTGGGCAAGGTAGTTATCAATTGACGTCGGCGAGGGTCACTTTGGCAGCCAAAATTTCAATTACCAGCCCATTGGTTTGGTTTATGCTCCCATTTCAAACATTCCATTTGGATTCGCTTGGACTACAATGTGCCTTCAAGGCAGTGTCTGTGTCGAAACGCTGCTTTTATGGATGCATAGTTTCTCCGGGCACCCAGTTAGGCACCCACCCCACTGCACGGTGGGCCTAATTTGGCATAGTCTGATCAAAAGTCTATAAGGGTGGTTACAGTCTATCCATCTAAAGGGTTATATATATATGGGTTACATTATATGTCTCGTTATCCTTTGACTAACATGGTATCACTTATAAGCCTTCATTTTCCTCAAGATCATAATCATTTGCCTCTAGTGTAGAATATCATAGTTTAGTTAATTAAGTTGTTTTTTTTTTTCAGGGACCACAAAAGATAATACTATCTATATGCACCACAAATCACCACAAAACTTTCTCATCTATGTTTTTAAATAAAATATATATATATAAATATAAATAGAACCTATTTGGATATATAATAGTTGGAATAACTGGTCTCAGTCCCTGGGGTTTTCAGTACTTCTTTCACATTAGTTGCCCACTGTGCTCGGGTGTGTCATAGTTTCGGATCGGGGCTTGTGGCGTAATTAACCTTTACGAAACCGGTTAAATATTTCTAATACCGTGATGCCGTGCAAACAAAAATAACAAGTGACAACAGAAGCGGACCGAGATGCAAATGAAAGCAGGAACAGTCGCATGCTGGAAGGGATTGGGATTGGGGGATAGAAAGTAACACAAACTTAGGGGTATATGTAGTTGTATAATTGCACATATGGAGTGTTTTAAATAAAAAAGGCAACAATCAAACTTAACATGGTAAAATTAGAAACACTGGACTGGTAACTAGAGGATGAAGATGTCGAGCGCCTCCGCCAGCTAGTCAACGTGGTACTCCGTCCTATGCGGCGATCCGCGTCGCTTCTCAGCCACGAATGCGTTGCTTATACCGGCCAGGCTGGTCACTCCTCGGATGCCAGTGCTGCGGAAGTAGATCAGCAAGTACTGCTCGCCATGTCGCAGTTCCACGTCGTCGGCAAAGTCCAGGCGCACCTGCTCCTGCGAATTGGCCTCCTGATGGCGCCTTAGCCTCTGGCGGTTTTTGTGATGGTGCCTGGCCCGTCGGTGGGTGGCCGGAGTGTCGAATGGGTCCGGTTCATGGTTGGAATCCGAGGATGTGGGGGACTCGGCCTGGTTCACGTACTCGTAGGCGGCGTAATCCGCCAAACTGGCGTACTCAAGGGGATAGATGCCGATCCAATCGTTGGGACCTTCCTCGAACTCCGCCTGCTTCTTGTACTCCACGGTATTCTCGTCCCCAATCTTCCAAACGGCTATCGACGAGAACACCACACCAGGCACCCGTACGCTCGGATAGAGCTTCACCTTAAAGTCACTGGTAACTGGTTTGTGGTCGCTTATGGTGTAGACGGGATGCGACTTGTAGGAGGACTGCTCAATGGACAGCTGCATTCCAGGCTGCCTGTTCAGAGGCTGCACGGCGTACATGATGCGATCCGTCCAAGCTGGCCTTCTCTTAAGGTCGTACTCCGAGGTCCCCTCCCGGAACTTGAAGGTGGGCGGAAAGGCGGGCAATCGTTCTTGCAGAACCTAAAATTATACCGTCTCAGTTAAGATTCTTGAAACTAGCTAGTGTGCCTACCTGGAAGGCCTGCTGGGTCTGCTCGCGAACCTGGTACAGTTGATCCCGCTTCATCAGAGCCTCGTGCTGGGCCTCATCGCTCACCAGCTGCCGCACTTCGGTGGCAGAGTCGCTGCCCTGCAGACGGAAGTTGAGGTCTCCAAACCAGAACACATAGTCGTGGTCGTAGATCTCCCGATAGCGCTTGACGTGGTAGTGGTGGTTCTCGAGAATCTGGCGATAGTCCTCGATGCGTTCGTCCAATTGGTGATCGTGGGCTGCCAAATGGGCAACCACAAAGGCCAGACCGCACCCGTAAAGGGTAAACCTGATGCTGACGGCTCCCTTGTTTCCCCAAATGCCGCCAAAACCAGTCCGTGTGAACTCAGCTTCAATGTCGTGCAGGTGTTCCACATGCTTCCGCCGGACGAACATACTCAGCAGCAGGCCCTGCATCTGCTCCGTTTTAATGGCAACATAGTCGTAGTTGCGCAGCAGCTCCTTGGCCTTGTGCGTCCAGGGATCCTCCTTGAACAGTCCAAGCACTTGTTGCTGCGGCTGGGCGTTTACCTCCTGCAATCCCAGGGCATAGATGTCCGGCAGATGAGCCTTCTCTTCTTCCGACTCCTCAGCGCCCACGTCGTGCAGACCCAACAGTTGCCGAAGGGAGATGTTGTCTGGGAAGCGGCTGCCCACGTTCCAAGTGACCACGTACACTCGGTAGGTCTCCAGCTGCTGCTTTGCGCTCTGAGCAGCCTTCGCCTCGTCCACCTCCGTTTTGGCTGCTTCCGTCGCCTGGCTCATCGTATGCTTCGCGAAGAGGAGATAAGAAACAGCAAAACCAACTGTCGCTGCACTGCACCCACTGTTTAGATTAACGTGTTTACCCTATTGATAAGGGGCTTTGATCGGCGGTTTCCCGCTTGTATGTTAGCTAAGAGCTGACCGCGGAACTTGGGAGGTGCCTTTCCAAACCTGCAATTGGGAAACTATGGATTACACTTGTTTGTCAGAGCAAAACAACAAACACTATAAAGCTGAGGGCAACAACAAAGCTCCATCTGGCTGACCGTTCGACAGAGCGCCAAAGAATCCCAACCACCTGCAGAATGCGGGTTGGCCACACCTTTAAATAACAGTTCTTGGATAAATATTAAAAAGTGGTAGCCCAGAGATGCTAATTTAAATACAATTAATTATATACCTTGCGAAATACGATTTTCAGTTAAACCTGACAGATATTCGATATCTTGGGGAGTACAATAAAAATGATTGCGGTAAATATCGATAGGATTTGTTTTTTCTTAAAGCTCATCTCTAGTTTCCAAATAGAAAATACCAAAAAGTACCAATCGATAAAATATCTGAACATATCGACTTACTCGGTATTTTTGATATCCCCATCTCTAGTTGTTTAAACCGAATTTATTCTGCGCGGCGTCTCTTTTTTTTCTACTGATTATTTTGTGTAGTGCCTTTGATTAAAATGGAGACTCCTCGTCGCAAGCTGCGCGACCTGCATTTGGAAAACGTGCAGAGCATCAGCACCCCAATCTGCATACCACCATCGCCGCTGCTGAAGACCCTTGGGCACGGCACCGGGGTCAGTGTTTACCGCCTGGACCGCTCGCCGCGTCTGGGACAAGCCCGCTCCCCGTGGGCCGTCAAGCGAATCACCCAGAATCCCAGGATTAAGAGGGACCCGGTCTTCAACGAGCGCATCATGTACGAGGCCCAGATTTTGCGGTAGGTGCCCACCTTTCTCATAGCGAACCTACATGAGTGTGTGTGCGTCCTGGCTGTGGCTCTGGAAGTGTGTGCGCTGTTGCATGCATGTGCGTGTTCATTAGAGTGGCCCAGTTTTCATTCCCTGCCCTACCTCTTCCTGGAAAATGCAGTACCAGCTTGAAAATCTCCAGCAGACAAGTCTTTAAAGAGAAATAAATACTCATTGCCCATCAGGTCTCCACAGTGACACGAATTTATTTTGGGCTGATGTTTATCGGCTCAATAAGTGCCAACACAACTGCCCAACAGGAAAGCGTCCCATCGTACAGCCCCTGGAATTTCCCAGAAACTGCCCTAACCCATTTTCCTCGAACGAAAAATTCCCCGAAATGTGGCGGCAAAATTCAAAAGAAACCTGCGTTCTTTTGTTCCAGCAAACTGAAACATCCCAATATCGTGGGTTTCCGTGGCCTGGTGACCGGCCCCGAGGGCGCAAGCACACTAGTGCTGGAGGTGTGCAACACCTCTCTTGGATCCATTCTGGAGGAGCGCCATGACGAGGATCTGGGCCCGTTGCCGCCCAAGAACACCCTGAAAATGATTATGGATGTGGCCAAGGCGTTGGACTTTCTGCACAACGAGGCTCGCCTCCTGCACGGCGACCTCAAGTCCTTCAATGTCCTGATCAAGGGCGAGTTTGAGATTTGCAAGCTATGCGACTTTGGGGTATCCATGCCGTTGGACGAGAACGGTGAGGTAAACATGATTAAGAAGTGCTATGTGGGTGAGTATGCTGCAACCAATCCAACATCGGCTCTTCCGCTACAATAGAATTACCATTTTATTTCAGGAACCTGCCTCTGGTCGGCTCCGGAGGTAATTGACCAGGTCGAGATCATTGACAGCAAGGCTGACATCTTCAGCTTTGGCCTGGTTATCTACGAGACCCTGGCTCTGGTCCCACCACACACCTTGGAACTGGACGAAGCGCTGGGCGAGGATTTGGATAACTCGCACGACTTGGACTCCAACAAGAAAAACAACAAGCAACAGGGCCAAAAACTTGACTTCACCGATTCCACCGACACCTCGGTCAACTTGGTGGAAGAAAAATCAGAGTCTGATTTCATGGAAGTCAGCCAGCAGGATGAGGTGGATGAGTCATCCTATGAAGAGGAAGATAATACAAAGGAGAACGAAATCTCTGGATTTTCGCTAAACAATCTGGAGTCTGCCTATGGCACGCGTCCCCCGCTGCCGGTGGCATTCCAGCTGAGCGCCGACTACAACTGCATCGTGGAGCTGTTCTATCTGTGCACTAATGCCCTCAGCGAGGATCGCCCGGCTGCCAGAACCATTTGGCAGAGCCTCGAAAACAATACAGTCACCGACGGATCCGGAGGCGATTAGACTAATGATATTACTTAAGTCTTCCCTTCTTCCATTTCGGAAACTGTTTGTTAACCACAGATTTGCATTCATCTGTGCATAATCTTAGCTAGGTTTAAGTTGGAAATTAACCTCCTAGCTTTAAGTTGAAAGAAAGTTTACAGTATAAGTTGACCTCAAACGTACGGCATCTGACTCTCGCATTCGTTATAAGTGACTATAGGTTTTCAAAAGGACATTCTTTGACATTCCCTGATTCGAAGAGGAGCCACGTTAGATCTGGAGGCCAAAGAAGGATGGAATAAATATTATCCAAAGAAGCAGAACGGCAGATAGCTCCTTAACAGACCCCAATGGACAACATTAATCAAAATCTGGATGCCAGAACATAGTTAAGCATAAATTGAGTGTAAAATATGTGTAAGAGAGAGAGCCTCCCACCTTGAATCTAAAGTTCGAAACAATTCAAACTCGAATATATATGTGCCCTTCCAGGAAAATGAATATATATACACCTCGGTTACAATTTTACTTAGGTTTATTAAAAAATAATAATACATACATCAAAATATAAGTTTTTGTCTTTTCAGTTGTTCAGCTAGAACACACATTTATTATCTCGTAGATGCGTGAGCGACTTGAAGATTTTGGATCGGGAATCCCCGGAGACTATAGGTTGTTCTTGTTCGGTAGAAGCTTCGATTGCTTGACAGTGTAAAAGGATATGTTTGTGGGACGGGGGACAAGGACGAGGACGACGTGGATACGCATTGGGGGGGTTACAGTTTAGATTCGCTGCTGTCTCTAGTCTAGATCTTGCTATCTATATTTGTATATTATATGTATATTTTGTTATGATAGGGTGCGATCTCTAAGGTTATTAGCATTAGGTTGCCTTCCGTCTCATATAAGTATATTGGTATGTTAACTTCGGGTGTCTGTCTTCCTCCTCTGTGTGATTTGACTAAAGCGTACCCAGACGTTCGGACTAACTCTACATAGACACGTGTATAAAATAAGTATTATCTTCTTGTATATATATGTATGTATATTTATAAAGTATCGAATTGCTCTCTTGAAGGCAAAGGCGCTGTTGGTGTTTCGTTTTGTTAGTTATCTCCTCGACATCATCGTTCCTGGCTGCGTAAATCGTTAGCTTTCCTTACAAACAAAGGAGTATTGGACGCACGGGGACAAAATAGTTAAAATTAAAAAAAAAATACAATGTTTAAGATAAATAATCAACTACAAATGTAATGCCAAATAATTCAAGAACGGTCTAATAAAAAAATACACATAGCAGACATACAAGGACACTCGCACAACACTGTGTCACCTCAGGATAAAAAACAGGATCATTTGAAGATCAATAGACCTCCCTGATGATCCCTCAAGTACATAAAATGGAATGTTTTTTTTTTTTTTTATATAAATTAGTCGTGTTTGATTGGTTTTTCGAATAATTGAGTGATCCTAGCACTCTGCCTTCTGCATTTGATGCTCTTTCTCTCTCCTTCTCGCTATAGCTGTCTCACTTTAATCTAATGCAACAAGTAGCATAATAACAAGACGTAAATCTTACAAATTTAAATACACATAATATATATATATATAAATGGAAAGGAAAAAAAAGATAAAAACAAGGACTGCATTCAAAAACGTGCAAATGAATAAGTGTGTTGGGTTTGCGAGTTGTGTGTGCGGAATGTATGGGGGAGAGTCGTATGACTGAGTGAGTGTGTAAGCGATTTCTAAATCCCTCACTTACTCCAGGACTGTGTATACTCCACTAGCCACCAGGTCACTAGCCAGCCCTGTTCTAAGCGAGATTGTCGATTGTCTTCAGCAGGCCTAACTCCAAATAATTGACTCAAGTTTGAACGAACTTATCGATGTGAGTGAAAGTTAAGACGGCTGAACCGAAGTGTCTCTTCTCGTAGCTGCAGTTGTTCTTCTGTCTTCGTTATGCGTGCCTCCTACAAGTGGAGCACCCCGTCCTTAACGTCGCTGGCCATTATCGTGGAGGCGTTTGAGCCCGCCGGCTGGTGATGGGACGAAGGTAGTGGGGACGGCTGGGACGCCACCGCCGGCTGGTGGTTGTGATTGGCGGCGGAGGACGTGGGGCTCTCGTCCAACGTGACTCCCGTGAGATCCACTATGTCGTCCTGGTCGTCATGCTCGATCTCGTCAGAAGTGTTGGTGTTGTTGGTGTGATGCGAACTGCTCGAGAGCTGGCTGTTCCTGGAGAACGAGCCGCGGTGCGTGGACGTCAGCGTCCGTTGGTTGGCCGGCTTCACTGTGATGATCAGATTCGAGCTATTGGCCACCATCATGTCGGTCACTTGGTCCAGAGTCTTTCCGGCCACCTCGATGCCGTTTACCTCGATCACCTCATCGTTGACCGCCAGCAAGCCGGTGCTCTCCGCCAGGCCACCCGGCACCAAGCGGGATATGAAGATTCCCGGCTGCTTCTCCAGGCCGCTTGCTGTCACCCGCACTGAGGTACCGTCCCGAATGTAGAAGCCCAAGGGCTTGTCGCTGCCGTGCTTCAGGAGCCTCACCCTCCGATGGGTTTCCGGCACAATGTCCACGTCTATGATGGCCGACACCTGTCGAAAATCATGCGGTATGGAAATCGACGGCGCCTTGGTCTTCACCGGAGTGTGGCCCATAAGTATGCTGCCTATTAGGTTTCTCGGTTTCATGGTCCCAAAGCCGGAGTACTCGTTCAGATCATCTTTAAACAAAGGAAGGTCTCAAATTAGGGCTTCTTTGGATAATCTGCAGCGGAACTCACCTTTTCTCTGAACAATTACCCGCAGAAGTGGGCGTGCCGTCTTCAGGGCTCGTCCGAAGTTGTCGTCGTTGTTAATGGGCAGCAGATCGTTGTCCCTCGGATCTATATACAGAATGAGAAACTGTATGTTGGCCAGCTTGTGCAGCTGCTCGATCAGAGCCGCGAACTTGTCGAAGCTCTGCTCCGTCTCGTTGCGCTTGAAACTCCAACGCCGGAACTCCGCATCGAACTGGAAGAGAAGCAATGGAAGTTTTAGGATTGACACATGCAGTTCTCCTAGATATAATCCCTCTAGAATGGTATGTGAGCTCCGATCCCCCGCCAACCCACTGCTATGCGCATGAATCAGCAGCTCAGCGGTGAAAGGGGCGTGGGGATTTGTGGCGGTTTGGAAGGGGGAGCGTTACCCAGGGTCGGAACGGGAACTGCAGTGGACTCACCTTCGATTTCACCTCGATCAGATTCGTTTCCCCGCTGGCCGCTGCAGCGGACGTTGTGTTTATCTTGTTCTTCGACATTTTTTCCCCTTCTCACAATTTTCCACACCGAGAGTCGCTTCTTTGGTTTGGACTCTTTTTTTGTATCTGATCTTCGGGATCGGGCCCAACCGAACCGATTGGATGCGAAGTGAACCGAACCGAAGACAGGAGCAGCGAAATTAAAAGGCTTTCAATAAATTAGAGTTAGAAAGGTAAATTAAAACTAATTAAATAAAAGAAATGGATGGTGGATGGAGGAATCTCGTTCAGCGCTGTAGTGTTGGTGAACGGAATGCGACCACAGTGTTGGCCAACGTCGCACAACAACGCCCTCCACTGGTAACCTTTCTCTAAAACCTCTAAAACAAGCAACATTTGTAAGTAGTTAAAAGACAGTCTTTATTATTTAAATCTGGCTTTAAGGATATTTTTTGGAAACATTAATCATTAAATTTTTAAATATTTCTTCGTCTATCGATAAATATTAAGACGCTTTTCTTTGGCATTAGTATCGATAATTATATAAAAATATCGATAGTTCAAAAAGATGGTAGAAATTAAGGTTTTGTGACATCCCTGGTCGAATTTTAGTTTTTGTGTGTTGTTGTCGTGCATAAAATGGAATTAGACAGCAGAATATGTTTTACTTCGGATAAATAAATACACGCACACACGTACACCATTTCTGCGAAGGCGAGCTACATGGTTTAATAACAATAACAATTAGAACCAAAATTTTAAGTTGCCTGACACTAAAAGTCCCCTAACAACAACACGGAGAAACGGAAAGAAACGCGAGCCAGGAAAGTCGCGTCGTTTAGCGCTTTTTTCCAATTTCGCGTTTTTCGCGCGACCTGCGTCCCTGACGCGAATCCTTGAGACACTCAAACACTCACGCACATACACACCGTCGCACTTGAACCCTCGCTCTCCCATACACACACTCACACACACACACTCTCACAGACAGGAGTAGGAAAGGAGCAGGCGGAGACATAAAAGAGGAAAGGAAGCAGTCTGTCAGTCAGCAACATGAGCTCGGTAATATAAACATTGGATATCAGCCGACTGGAGTAACTCGAGATAAGCATATAAGCTATATACATATAGAAGATGGTACAGTCAAATCCTGGGAGGCCAAGGTGGATATGTCACGTGTCCCGCAAATCCTATATTGGACACATATGGTTTAGTGACACTAGACTCAATGGGTTGGCCCTTAGCCTTTGCCAGGATTGATGTATTTTGGCTTAGTTGATTACATTCCTGTTATGTAAAGGGTTTTCTGAGTTACTTTCATGGCTTACGCTAATAAGTTCCGTGTGAATAAATCGTTAACATCATCCAATGCACTTTTGCAGCAATATTCCAACGTGGAGAACCTGTCCCCGCAGACAATAAGGCAGGTGATGCGGGAACTGCAGGAGATGGAGACTACGCCGCCGGAGGGCATCAAGGTGCTGATCAACGAGAGCGACGTCACGGACGTCCAGGCGTTAATCGACGGTCCCGCCGGCACACCCTACGCCGCTGGCATTTTCCGCGTCAAGCTGACGCTAAACAAAGATTTTCCCCAGACGCCCCCAAAGGCGTACTTCCTAACCAAGATCTTTCATCCGAACGTCGCTGCCAATGGGGAGATCTGTGTGAACACACTGAAGAAGGACTGGAAGCCGGATCTGGGCATCAAGCACATACTTCTGACCATCAAATGCCTGCTGATCGTACCCAACCCGGAGTCTGCGCTCAACGAGGAGGCCGGCAAGATGCTGCTGGAGCGCTATGATGACTACTCGCAGCGGGCGCGAATGATGACCGAGATTCATGCCCAGGTGAGTGATACCCATTGATATTATATCAAGAATATGGTGCTAATTGTCTTACTCTGTTAGCCCGCCAAGTGCGCGGCAGGCGCTGCTGGCGACTCCAAAGACGATGACGGCCCCTCGACAAAGAAACACGCCGGCCTGGACAAAAAACTGCAGGACAAGAAGAAGGAGAAGTTGCTCAAGGAGAAGAAGCGCATGCTGAAGAGATTATGAGACGCATGAGGAGCGCTAGTTCCAGGAGCAGAAAATAACTAAACAGAAGGAGCAGAAGCAGTAGCCGTAACTGTAGGAAACTGATGGATGTGAAGGCCAAGCGATGGATTGGCAAGGCGGGCGTGTGGATAGGGTATCCAGACCCACAGGGCCAGAAGATAGAAGCAAAGCTAGTACGATAGAGCAAGGAAGCAGGCGCGCTATAAAATTTTACACTGATCTGATGATTAACAAAAAAAAAAGAAAGAAACAAAAAGATAAAGAAATCACGCAATGAAAGGGAGAAAAATAAGAAAAATGAGGATGAGCAGAGGGAACACCAACCTAGATCATTTAGAGACGTAGAAATGCAGATTCGAAATAAAATTGAGGCGAAATTTTCGGTGAATCGAGAGCCAGAAGCACTCACTCCAAAGATCCAAAGATGTGCATCCAGTTGCCACATTTAAATCACACACACTCATACACAGACACTCCTCTTGGTAAGACAGCATCTGTCAGTCAGCTTAGAATGTAGCTTAGAACGCGATGGAGTTTTTGATAGTAGGAAGCATCCAGAGAGTAACCAAGAGTAATGAAAGTGCAACCATCTTCGAAGTACGTAGTTCTTTTCTTAACACTATCCTAGCATAATTTATTTAATTAGTTTAAAGATAATCAAGAAGTACATAGCCCATAGCCCATAGCCCATTGCCCATCGTCCAATGCCCAATGCCCAATCGCCTCATCCGCCCTGTGTCCCATCCATACCGCCCTGCCCCCTGTCTTCTCAGATACATACATACATATATATATCTTTAACGCATCACCGTCTCACCTTAACTCACCTTGTAATCCGTGCACCGGCATATGGTTAACCATTTCGTCTATTTTTGTTTAAGTAAGTTCTGATTTTTTCCACCACACTAGGCTTAAGATAAAAAAACAATCACACATCCAAAAATACAACATTATATATATAAATGATTGACAAACCTAACGAGCTGATGCTGCATTCTGGTAGAGATCGAGGCTAAGTACATAAGACACGAGCATTAGAGGATGACCTCCTTCCCCCGGATCGCCGTCCCCCGACACCACCACCACCAGATTCAAGTCCTTGAAGGAGGACGGCGAGAAAAAAGCAATAAAAAAAAAATAAACTGAGCATCTTTATATCTTGTGGATCTTGTATCTAGAATCTAGATCCTCCAGCACATCGGAAGTCGATAGATAAGACCTGCCTCGGTCTCCATCGGCCGAGCACGTAACGCGTGCCAATAACAATGCCCATTTCCTACGTAGTTCCGCTCCCCTTTCCGTTCCGCCCACCGGAACAGTTGGCTGCAGGGGGGGGGGGAGACTATGCCGAACCCATTCCCCCAATTCCGCGAACTGTCATGAGACATCTATTGCGCGTCCGAGCCACACACACACTGGCGCACATTCCAGTCCGGTGACTGAGCGGATGAGTAGGTGTATGGTTCTCGCTCCGAGCCCGGGTCTACGGGTCTACGGCGGGTCTAACCTTCAGGCAACTTGTCGTTCGAGCCAATATCCAATACTGTCTCTGGGTGATACCCTGGATACCTGGACAGGTGAGTAAGTGCCAGATCTTTCTTCTTGGAGCTTGCTAAGGGCACTCCAAGTGCATATACCCCAAGAATCTAGGGTATCAGCCAGCTCTTTGCTCTCGCCAGCCAGCCAGCCAGCCACTCTCTCCCGCTCTCATCGATGGAGCTCAGTTCGATTGCGGCTCAGTTGGGGCCATGGGCGGATCTCGACCGAGGGGTCTTGGAACGAGATGGAGTGGTGGTATGGCTGGGGTAAGGCCCCGCTCGATACCACGCCCGTGGATGGAGCTCTCTCTCTCCCAAGTCGGACTTGAATGAATTTTGTGGCCCCAAGTGGCCAGCCAGCAGATGGACCGACCGCAAAAATGGAAAAATGGAGAATGGAGAGACTGTTGATCAGCGGAGGGGGGCTAAGTTGGGGCTAAAACCAAAAACCAAAAGCAAAAGCCAAACAGCCAAACGGCTAAACAGACAGCGAATGGCGAATAACAACAGCAGCAGGTAGATCAGTTGTGAATCTGGCACAGGCGGACGAATATCAACAAACGATTTGGCTTGGCTTGGCTTGGCTTGGCTCGAACCGAGGCAAATTAAAATCGAAAACAACAACAACATAAAGCCGAGATCGGTTGTCAGATGTGTGTGTGCTGTGTGTGTTCCTGTGTGCGTAAATCAATATATATATATCTGCCGTTTTGCCGCAAATCCATCAAGAAGAAATAAATCAATAAGCTTAAGATCAGGACTCGGAGTGAGAAGTCATCGGTTAAAAGTTAGTGAAACATAAGGCCAAGAGATCTATCTATAAGTGTTTGCCAGCAAAGGACCAAGTGACTAAGATTAAGACCCTAAAAGGATAAGGAGGATCCACTTCAGGAGGATTGACTTTCCCGCCCAGCGGAGAGAGAAGCGCGTGCTCGGACTCTTCCATGGGGGCCAGCTTGGCGCCCTGTTGGCCTTTTTAGCAACATCTGTTTGCCCAGCTTCCCATGTGTTGTTGGATATCTTGGCTAATTGGCCAGCTCCCCAGCTCCGCCACCACGCTCCTCCCGCTCCACCACTGGCTTGTTTATTTTCTTTGGTGTTTTTTTTTTTTCAAGTGATCGATCGATGATCGAGTGCCAAGTGCCTCCCTTTTTTTTTGACAGTGTGCCCCAGTGATCTGATCTCTGATTGGATCTCGCGATCCGCGCTTCCAGCCGAACTAGAACACCTCCGTTTTGGTTCGAGTGTACGACGAGATGCATACCTGTATTCGTAGCACTGACTATATATAGTCAGTGGTCGTGGGCCGAACCAGCTATAGCTATTCAAATGGAATCCGAGCGAGGCCTGTACCTTTTTTTTTTTTTTCCAGTGTACACCCCTATGACGTTGCCGACAGTAAGGTCAGGCTGGGACGGAACCCCAATCAGTAGCCGGCAGTGGTAGCCCATTCAGTGATCAGGCGACTGAATGAATTCGATCCAAGCCCGGCGACTCTCAAGGCGATTTCGTACCTCGGATCGTGATAGGAATGCCGCACTGTAAGGCAAACACACCCACATGATAGTCTATATAAATATTACCATACAGATCACGGCTACGGGTTCTGTAGTGCCCGGTGTGGGTCGAAAGAAAGAAAGAAAACTCGATCACTTATTAACATTGTAGATTTTCTCTCAGTGTGCTGTAATGAGTTGGTATGCAAATCATTTCGATTGCCTTGACAGCGGTCGTCTCGCGCATCGTAAAATCCTCCGCTCCGATCTTGTGTAGATCGTTGCTGGCTTTTTGTGTCACCAATGTGATTCGGGTTGGACTGTTTTGATTCGAGTTTCGAGAACTTGAGTTTCATTAACAGGCGGGGGCGTTCCGAACGCTTTTGGCCATCGGAGCACCAAAAACGAAAACTCAAACTCATTTTGACCAAATGTGTTTGAAACTATGCGGTTTGAAAAAACGGCGAGTGGGCAGCTCCGCCAGTTCAACGTTGTTTCGAGAGCAGCAATTATCGCGAATAAGCCAACAAATCACATCACACTGGCCGGAGATTGCAGGCTGCAGAGGTCTGTCCCAGGAGTTGGACTCCAATTCGAGTCAAGGCAGTGCCAAATTACGTGTGCTAACGATCCACAGTTGAAGATCGAAAATTATAATAATAAAAACAGACAAACTACGAATCCGAGTAACCCCCAAAAGTTTAAAAATAAACAGATAACCTTATCAAAGTTTAAAAAACGAAAGACGTTGGAAATAACATAAGCTGGCGCCACCTGGTGGCCGCGTTGGTCTGACAAAAATCGTAGCATACTATTGCGCGCGTGAACCAAGTTTTTAGCCGAGACACACAACCAACTTTAATCTCTTGAAAGCTTAAAACTAAGCTTAAAGAATAATTTTTAATAATTAGTGGCTTGTTAAATGTTTAATTTATAGGCTGTTGAATGGAATTGAAATTTAAAATAATCCCGAGGCAACGATAAACAGTAGAAACTTCCCAGAAGCCATGGCTTTGAGCAAATCAATAGCCGGCGCCAAAGACGAGCAAAACGAACTGGTGAGTACCCCCTCCCCAAACCACTAACCACCCATCACCCACCACCCACAACCCACCACCCACCACCTACTACTCCCTGCAATGTTAAGAGTGGAATATAAAAATGAGCAATAAACCCGCTCGAAACGAATCCCAGGTAAGGGGGCTATAAAGTAAGTAAAGCTCGGCGGTGCGGGCAAAAACAATGAATGGCTTGGCTTGACGTTGGCAGTAGCAGAGGCAGAGGCAGCGGCAGAGGCAGAGGCAGCGACCGAAAAAGTTTCAAGCTCAGGTGTAACAAACTAACGGTGCAGCTAGCCGCAGAACCGCAGTCGCGACGCGCCATCGTATCGAGCTGAACACGCGCGTGCGCGCTCTCTGTTTCGGAACTTTTGACTTCGGGATTTATCGCCACCGCCAGAAGATCTACCTAACTGGGACAAAGTGCAGCCCAAAGAGCTCCTCGATTGCACCTGATTTTTTTTGTTTTTGTGTGCCGATCGCTCTCCCCCCCCAGGCGGCGGATGGCTCTGGCCCAGTGCAGTGCGACACCAGTGCCAGCCAGCCCGATAAAGTAAAGTGCTCGAGCGGCGCGAAGAGAAGGGTGAGCTGGTGGCTGAACAAAGAAGAAGAAGAAGTTTATTATCTCATTCTGGTGCATCGGTCAGAACCGTAAGCTCGCCTCAGAGCTTTTCCGCTTCGGTGTTATCTCAGCTTCGATTAGATCATTTTAATTGCCGAACAACGTACCCGTACTCGTACTCGTACTCCATACCCGTAGCCCATTCCAATCACCGTATACGTGCAAAAAATTAATCATTAGCTTAGACCCCTAGTCCCCCCTAGTCCCCTGTAGTCCCCTAGTTCGCTTCATTTCGTTTTGTTGGCTCTGTTTCGTTGTCGTGACATTTGTTGTTGTTGTTTTTATTGGTATTAGTACTTCTATAGCTGCCTTTGACGATCTTCGTGTGTTGCATCATGGGGCATCCAAATCCACATCGCGTATACGCCATGTTGGCCCAGCAAATTAGTTCTAGTATTGGCGCAATATTTTTTTTTCCAGTCCAGCGCCAAGTTTCCAGTCTTCCAGTGTGAGCAGGCCCCGCAGGCCTCGAAAATATTTTCCCACCATTAAGAGGCCCAAGACAAGTCTCGACAAGCACTCACATATAGCCACAAATCATAGCCTGCTCACACAAAGTGGACACTGTACACCCCTCCAGAGGTGGGCACTGGGATTTCTGTCAGTGCACATCCAATAGCACCCACAACTAATGCAGTTGTTGTTGTTGTTGGTTGCTGGTTATGTGTGGCTGCCTTTTTGAAAGAGTTTTGTTGTCAGTTAGTTGTTTATTGTTGTTGTTGTTTTTGGTTTTCGGGCCCGTTGTTCAACTTGTTTGTTTGGGCGGCCAAGAAGCGGCGTGAGGGGGGAACTGTTTCGGATTTTTGCCCGCTCTTCTAAAGGAAAAACTCTTGTGGCCTGGCCGCGTGTTTTTTTTTTTTTTTTTTTTTGGACAGCAGCCACAATTCAATGTCTTTGTATGGCCAAGAGGCGTGAATTAAATGCAACTACAACCACACTGGCTGACAAGGTGGATGCCTGTTCGTCGGCGGCCAGTGCGTGACTTTTGGGCTCGGCTCCAAGCTCCCAGCTCCCAGCTCCCAGCTCCTAGCTCCTAGCTCCGAGAACGAAATGCCTTTGGAAGTCAGAGCTCCCCCAGCTCACCTACTGGACTAGCCTTTCTCTCAGTGTATGGCTGGCTTTTGGGTCAAGTAAAAGGCACTACGATTGCATTAGGAATTGTCAAAGTCCCAGCTCCAAATCCAAAAATCCAAATCCAAACGAGTCGGATTATTTTAATTCCGATTTGGGCCGCTGACTCACATCTGGGCGTGGCCATTGCCCCTTGTGCCTTGTGCCCAACTCCTTATATTTTGGCCAGCTCGTGACAAAAGAGGAGGCATGTCGCTGCCGAAAGCGGTGGAAGAATGCCCGGCAAGAGAGAAGCTTCTTCTCTTGCCATGCCGCCGTCCTCCTCCCTTTCGGCATGCGAGCCACAAATCGATTTGGCCGGAAGCAATTACAAAAATGGCCAAATTGCAGTCACAATTTATGGGCTATTGTTGTTGTTTTTTGTGGCGGTCTGACGTCATAGGCTGAGTCGATCGGCCAAAAACCCACAAAAAGAGCTATTCGCCAAGTCGGGGCTAGATTTATTGTTCGATCGCCTAATTATCGATTCAAGAATCGTTTTTAAATGCCTCTGTGGAGGGAGGAGATGGAGGAGAGGCGGTGGAGCCTCCGATTGCGATGCCACATCCGTCTGAAGCTGGCCTGGAAGTTGGTCGATAAGTGGCGGGTCAAGACGGGAGCGATTTTATGGAAATCATTTGCTTCCAATTAGTGGGTTTCCCGTCCAGAGTCCACCAGTCTTACAGTCCCTCTCTCTAGATCTCTAGCAGTGGCCTCTGATGTAGAGCTACGTTTTCCCAAGCCATCGTTGGGGTGCCCCTTGATCTGACCTTTGAACTGACCAGCCGCTGATGGCCGAGTTTCTACTACCTTCAGTTTCATTTCACCGCCCTGACCTGCACCGATGCCCTTTGCGGGTTGTGGCCACTGACCCTCCCACTCCCTCCCAGATCCATTTATGACCCGCGGCAGAGACTTAATGAGCTGGGAGCACCGTTCTGGGCTTAACGCTTCGCGGGTTTAACGCCCACTGGCGGAAAACGGGGAGGAGCCTCTGCCACGATGAAATATGATTATCATGATGAGTATTTGATAGGAGAGGCTTCATGTGAGGGCCAGATAATAAACTTCTTCTTGACGTTCCTGATCTCTGACTGTTAACGTGGCTAATGTGATTGATTTGGTCTAGAATCTGGGTCTCGTCTTGGCCAGTAAGAGCCGGGAACCGCGCTCTGCGATGTTGTGCTCGCCTTGGAGTTGCTCCGAAGCATTTGGATTTGGAACTGAGGCCGGAAGGGGAAGAGGAGACCAGTCGAGAGCAGGAGCTGCAGCAGGGGCAGGAAGTGGGGAGAGTGGTTCCGGAGGGCAGATGTAGATGCAGCAGAGCCGCCGTTGCCACCGACACCGCCAGATGATCGAATGGTGGTGATCCTCCTACTGTCGCCATGCACATGCAGCCGCAGCAGCAGCAGCAGCCACGCCCACGCCCACCAACCCGCCCACTCATCACCATCATCAGCACCACCCAAGCACAAGAGCCACAACCACCTACAGCATCCACCACCAACCGCCTCCAGCTCGCCGGAAAGCCGCGACTCCCGGAGCAGCAATGAGTCCTCCTCTACGGGCGATACAGCCATTCCGGCGGCCAGTTACCTGCAGCGGACTCCGCCGGCGCCCCATCCCCTCCAGCCTAGTCATAGTCGTAGCTACCGACCACTGCCAGCCCCTGGCCCCGGCCCAGGACCAGCTCCCGTCCACGCCTATCGCCCCGGAGGATGGGCGCCTCTGCAATCCTGGCCGAATGCCGTGCCGAAGCCGCCGCGTCAGAGCCACCCGGTGGTCTTCCGCGTCCACCCATCACTGCCGCAGCCTCAGCCTCAGCACCTGCATCCGATCCCGATCCCTCGGGACCATCATACCCGGGGAAACCGCTTTACTAACACCACTGACTACGTGCGTCACGTGACCCGGGTTAACTTCTACGACATTGATACTTCGCAGGTCGAATTCGAGTCCAAAGATGACGAGGAGAGCACCGAGGCCACTGGAAGCAATTGCGATACAGAAGCTATTACCAAAGAAGGTGAGTGTTTGGCATTCCTTTCCAGAAACTAGGTAGTATTTGGCCAATAACTTTGAGCCCCATTCGATGCCAATTGACAGGCAAACATTGGCAACTGACTGGAGTCGGGGGTCGTGTCGGTGCTGACAAATGGGTAGAGACAGGTCATGTCGGGTAGCTGATCGATCAGAACACCAGAGATCGATAGCAATACCAGTGGGTGAGACATCGTCAAGCGTGAGATCAGATCAGAGCTAGAGATCTAGATGGCATGGCCATGGATTACTCACTCGATTGCTCATCAAGCATACGCCATGGTGGCCCGAAATGAAAGTGCCACGAAAGCGCCCTGCCCTTTTCCATTTCCATTTCCATATTCATTTTCTTATTAATTTTCTTATTCATTTCCATAACTTATAATCAGATGGAGAGCTGATCCCGAATTCCTTTCGCTCCCTGCTCTTCCAATTACAATTAAAACATGTGTTATGAGAGGCCCCCGCGGATTCCGCTTGCGGAAATCATAGAAAGTTTTGATTTAATTATGTGATTAACATAACACAAAGGCACCAGGCAGCTACCAGCTACCAGACAGCAACTTGCAACTTGCAACTTGCAACAATAAGTCGATTACTGGCGGCACAACAGCTGTGGAAACGTGTAAAAATTATAAATAACAAGCGGCCGCAACAAAATGCAAAATGCAAATTTTTTCAAATCTGAGGAGCTCGGTGAAAAATGGTGATCCGGGGGAAAAGATTTCCCACGTTAGCGGATCATTAAAACTGCGCCTTGCCAAGTGGCAAGTGTGGCAAGTGGCAAGTGGGGCTTGGAGCTTGCTTCCCCTAGTAGTCTGCTGGCCCCTGGCCCTGTCACTGTCGCAAATATTCGTCACATTCGAGATAAAATATATACCGACCCAAGGCCCCCTGATCTCTGACTTGGAGCGTGACCTTGTTGGCGCGGGCTGTGAAAAGCACAACTGCCATAAAGCTGTAGAAGGGGCTCAGAGCCAGAACTCAGAGCCACCAAAGGGGGGCAAAACGACTGTTTATCACTTAGGTGTAACTCGCGGGGAGGTCGTTTTTCGTTTTTCTATTTGTGGCTCCACTTGTGGCCAATAACTGACTCCCCTTGTAGAGCTATCTAACCTGGGTGTGGCTCGACACCTCGACAGGAGGGGTGGCGGCAGGCCATAATCGATACCACAATTAGTCCACAAGTGCCGTCGCCGAGCCACAGAGATGCCGGAGATGGTAATGCAATCTCTTGGGCTGTGGAAATATCCGTGGAGACCTGCCACAAATCAGTTGCAATCGCCTGAAATCGAGGCTTGTTAGGTGGGCGTGGCTCGGCGTTGCAGCTCCATAAATTCACATTATATAGCGCCAGGCCCCAAAACAATGGCCGCCCAGTAACTGTTGGTCTGCAACCTGCAACTTGCAACATGCAACCTGCAACAGTGGTTCTGGACAACCGCCACTTTTGTAGGGCAATACTTTTCATCAAACAGTTTCCCATTCCCTTCTCCGAGTGTGGAAATGCTTGACTAACCTGGCAGATACCTTAGGCGGGGAAGGCGGGGAAGGAAAACCCCAACCAGCAGCAGTTGCAACAATACATACGTGCAGTGGAGCAGTGGAGCTCAAATGATAAAGATAAACAGTCTGGTCAGGCAAATGGTTGAACAATAAAGCCAGATAGACTACAGTGGGGACTGTCTGCTGGAGAACCCTTCCAGAGGTGATCCAAGAGACTCCCTGCCAGACCGAGGAGACAGCTGGCGGAGGGCTGGGGGACTACGCGACGTCTCGTTTCGGTTTCTGGCGCTTTGCATTGCATTTGCATTTGCAGATAGATTATGTAAGCGACCTTTAATGGTCCAGCGATCTCAAGTCGGCAGGCGAGTCGGACGGACGTCGAGATTCAGATTCAGGGGGGAAACGTAATCGGGAAATGGTAATGGTAATGGTAATAGTAATGCTGATGGTAATGGGGATCGAAATCGGGATCGGGAAAGGAACGAAGGTGGACATGAACATGGACCCTGCTCCCCAAAAAGTTGGTTGGTTGGGGAAAAATCAGTGCCCAGATCACGCTGCCCAGTTGTCGGATGTCCGCCGTCCCAGCTCCCAACAACCAGCTTCCAGCTCGCAGCTCCATAGCTCCCAGATCGGGACTGTAAGTCTGGTGCAGGTTGCCCAACAGCCAGAGCCACCAAAGCTGGCAGTTTAGACTTTTTATCGCATTGGCGGGAAACTGCAGTGTGGAGGCCAAGTTTTTATGGGCCATAACTTGTTATTATGGCTAATTTTCCCATGCCAAATAAATGATTTATTTAATTTAGTTAGTGGCTTATACTACTGGGTTATACTACTGGGTTTAAACATTTCATATCTTTGTTAATTTCGGAGCAATTCTCAGGGGGGATACACCTTCGGTTTTGTCGTAAAAATCCCCATAAATCTTCATCAAAACATGAAAAGCTAATTTTTTATCGATTTTTGATGAATTTTCTTGGAAAATGTTTGGAAAAATCTATAAAATTTTAGATAGTATTTATAGTCTTTATAAAAAAAAGAACCTACTCGGAGTGTTGAAGTCGGAAAGATATTTCATTCCTGTCTCAAACTTCTATTGGCTGAAATAGGATCATGAGAAGACTCAAAAATATCCATATTTTGTATCCTGGTGTATCCTATGTCCTGGAAGACCATGGATTGGGCTTTCAATACCTTTCAAAGCCTATATCTTTTTTAATTTTAGAGCTATTCTTCAAAGGAGTACATCATTGTTTTTGTCGTAAAAGTCCCCATAGTTCTGCATTAAAACCTAAACACGAAATTTTTAATAGATTTTCAATGAACTTTTTTGATGTTATAAACCATCCATTATATATATCGATCGATAAAATCCATCAATTTTAAGGTTACCTGACTTTCAAGCAAAAATAATGTACTCAAATCACTAACATTAGAAAGGTTAGATACCATTCCTGAATCTGGCATCTAATGACTGAGATATAATACAAAGAATCTCTGAAAATATCCCTTTTTCAGGATCATATCCTAGAAATCCTCGATTCGGGCATTTCGAACCTTTTGTGAGCTCATAACTTTGTTGATTTTGGAGCGATTCTTACGAGGGATACATCAATGCTTTTGTTATAAAAATTGCCACAAATCTGCATTTAAATCTGAGTAACAAATTTTTTTTTATTTTTTGATGAAATTTTATGATGAAAATTTGAAAATTTTCAAAAAATTGATCAAATTTTACAAGACCAGTTTTTGATGCCAAAAGGAACTACTCAAAGTGCTGAAATCGGAAAGGTATACCTTTCTTGGATTAAACTTGTATTGGCTGAGATATGATCATGAGAAGCCTGGAAAATGCCATTTTTTAAGTCCCTTTTTTTTTATGAAATGGAACTCAACAGATCCCTTATTTGGACCCCTATCCAAGCCCATATCTTTGGTAATTTTGGAGCAATCCTTAAATGGGTTACATCTTTGTTTTTGTCTTAAAAATGCCCACAAATCTGCATCAAAACCTAAGAAACTAAATTTTGATCGATTTTCGATGAATTTTTATGATGGTACCCCTTTGAAAATTTTCGAAAAATCTAAAAAATTTTATAATGAAAGATTTTAATGGGAAAAACAAGTACTCGGAGTGCTGAAGTCGGGAAGGCATGTCACTCCTGGATCAGACTTCTATTAGATGAGCTATGATCTTGAGAAGCTACCAAAATCATACTTTTTTTGGAAACTAGCTTTTTTGAAATCCTGGAAACCCCTAGATCCGGTATTTTGACCCATTTCTAAGGCTATAACTTTGTCAATTTTAAGACAATTTTAATAAAACCTACACCGATGTAATCTTTGAAAAATTCCTCACAAATCGGCATTAAAATCTAAGCAGCTAATTTTTTTAAGATTTTCGATGAATTTTTATGATGCCCCCGCTTTGAAAATTTTCAAAAAATCTAGAAAAGTTTAAGCTTTAAAATTTTTAAGCCAAAATCAAGTACTTCATGTGCCGATACCGGAAAGATATACCATTTCCGGATCAAGAGAAGCCTTGATAAGGAAGCCTTCTCTTCCCATGTCCTGTGTAGAGGATTAGTTTCAATTTCAGGGAGTACTCCCATTTCCCAAAGCCCTATTTTATAGCCATTTAAAGTGGCTAAAACCTTTATGGCCAAAATGGGGCATCTCTGGCTGGCGCACGACGAGTACAGTTAGTCGGGTAAGTGTGCGCCCCAGACTAGACCAAGACCAAGACCGACTCGGATTCGGACTCGGACTCGGACTCGGTCCGACTGGGTTACGTAATTTGGCGAGCAAGCGCGCGAGCGCTGAAGCGCTTCCCCCTCTCCGCCCCCGCCCCCGCCCTAGCCCTGGACGTTGGCGGACTTCTTTTGTTAGAAAAGGCGAATCCCAAAATGGGCATAAGCCACATGCAAATGTGGCGGTGCAGAGATCTTGGCCAGTCGCTGCAGTTGCGCAAGCGCACCAGAGACAAGAATGGCAGAGTCGTTGGGCAACCGTCGCGGCGGTCCTGCCCGCCAAGAAAAGCTCCGCCAGAGCTTTGGATTGGGCCCGAACCTGAGCTGCGCAAGCGCGGCTTGGCCCGGTTTAGTAGCCGACTTTTGGGGGGGCTCCAAGAATTCAGTCTTTCGGCCAACTAACTCTTCCGTCTCGACCCTTTGCAGAGGAGTGGATAACGAAACGCAAGACAGAGCTCACAACCACCAGACAGATCGAGACGAGGGTGAAGCGGCAGGTGAAGCTGCAGGATGGCAAGGTCATCGAGGACTCCGGGCCCATTGTCTCCACCAACACCACCGAGGACACCGACAAGCAGGAGACGGAGACCACTGAGGTAAGTACCCTATGGAAGCCTCTACAGGCCCTAGAAGACTTAGGTCGATTCTTTGCAGAAACGTGACCTCGACCTGCCCGACGATCTCGACGGAAACGCCCAGCTGACCGACGTGGCCGCCCTGCAAGCAGCCGCCGCTAATGAGTCTCAGCTGGCCCAGATCCAGGAGGTGTTCGGGCCGGCGGACGGAGCCGGGAAGCTGGTGAAACGAATGGTCCCACGGCCGGCCGATGGGCTGGTGCGGCAGGTGGACGACAAGCGGGTCATCTCCCACGAGGAGGTCAAGGACTACCACGAGACCGAGGACGTCAAGCACCTGGGCGACTTTACAGATCAGGTAAGTGTTAAGGATTAGCTTGGTTAAGGATTCAATTAAGGCCATGTTGGAGCTGTACTTCGAAGGATCTTTTAAGGAACTAATCCCCTAAAACCTAGGAAAAGCTAGGGAAAGCTCTGATTTGCTTAAACCTTCACTCGGTAGTGGCAGAGGCCTGAACCCCCAGTCCTAGACAGACCCCCACCCCCCAGTCATCTTCGGGCTCATGTTCATCTCGGTTCGACGTGGGTTAAGCTCGGCTCTTGTGGGCTTGTAGCTAGCTGGAAAAGAAGAAGAGCAGCCAAGACCGGTTGGCCGAAAGAGGCAGGAGCGGTTGAGGCCCAAAGGGGGCAACAAAACTAAGACGGGATCTCTTCCTCAAGACCTTGAGAACACGGCTTATGGTGTGTAGATCTAGAGGAAGATCCCCAAAGTGGGCTAGTTTTTTTGGCCAGTGCATGGGGATTGGTAATCGGAGCCAGGAGTCCGGACAGGTAACCCGAAAATTGGCTTAAATAACTGAAAATCAATTCGGCGTTAAGAGCAACAATGTAGCAGCCCTGTCTTTCCAGCAGCAGCAGCACCACCAAGCTCGTTCGAAAGTTATGGCTGTGGTTGGAGCTTGGAACTTGGAGCTGCATCCCGCTGGCTCTTGGCTCTTGGCTCTCGGGGAGCGATCGAGCCAGAGAGCTCTCAGTTTCTCTCCCAACCGGTAACGCATCTGCGAACCGGTAACAGGCCGTGGGGGAGCTCTCGGATGGCTAGCAGCTTGGAGTAGCGAACTCGAGCCGCGCAAGTCGAGCAGTACGGACGGGATTCGGATACGGCGAGAAGAGTAGTGGCTTGTAGATTTGTTTGCTTTCTTCGCTGAGTTTACAGTTATACGCTTTTGTTTTTTCTCGCCGCAAAGTATAAACAAATAATTAAACGGCAGTGTTCGGCAGTCCGTGAGCAGTGACTAGTGACCAGTGTGATCAGTGATCAGTGATCAGTGACCAGTAATTGGAATCGATATCCTCCGTTCCCCACTATCCCCCCCCATTTCTGGCAGTGTTTTAACCAAGTCGCTAATGCGTGGGCTCTTGGCCAAATTATAATTCATAAATTATAAGCCACAAGGTGCTGCAGCCGCTTCGAGGGCTGTAGAGTTCGAGTGGAGGACTGCGGATTCCAGCGCTCCAATTTGCATAATTATCAAGGTGCGATTCGGTCAGTTAGATAAGTTATAAAACCATCATCTATTTGCATTCGAGTCACGAAACAAAGACGTCTTTTTTCGGGAAGGTCTTTGCCGGATTCTGGCTAACAAACTACCAAACCGGTAGTCGATTGCTATCCAGCCAGGCCCAGTGGCCATCTCAGAGGTCAAAGATAACCTTCCTGCCAGATTTTTGTAGACTATTTTGGACCAAAAAGGTCACTTGCTGGTTTAGGAATTCTTGTTTTTCCTGATATCGATTCGATTTCCGAAATATCAAGTACCTGGCCACCTACCACCTGGTAGCTGGGAAAGGCAAGGCATACACACTGGGGGCTGGAGCCGCCCAGAGAAAGAGACAACGGCCAGTGGGCGACAGAGAGGGCGAAAGACTCTCCCGAAGGCTGGCTCCGAGCAGCTGAGCAGACCTGTTCTGAGCTCCGAGCTCCGAGCCAGGTATAATCAATAGCTTCTGCTGCTGTTGCTTCTGCGCGGCTCCTGCTTGGATTTCTCGGATTCTAGGCGTGTCTGCCTTAGGTCCATGAACCTAACCGATACACAGATACACAGTACACACCGAGATACAGATACACACACAGACACACACTCGAAGCTGAAGCTTCCAGGGCGGACCAACGTCTTCCAAACTTAATTGGCCGGACAAGTCGAAGTCATTTCTTTCTGTGCAGAAAAGTGTCTGGAATGTGAATTCAAATTTGTGTCTCTCGGAGTCTCGGTTTTCTGTTTTCTGTTTTCAGTTTCCAGGTGTATCTGTATCTGTATCTGCGGCTTGGAGCTGCTAGTGAGCAAGTACTTGGTACTTGGCGGCTGGCCGTTGCGGCCTAACCTGGCCGAAAACCCGTTTCGATGTCGGTGTCTAGGTGCCCATGCCCGTGCCCGTTGCCCCCACATGCTATGCTAAGCGAGTCAGGCCCCAAACCGAATCCAATCCAGCCCAAACAACTCTAATCGGCAAATGCCAATCAGCTAGAGCCAGATCCCAGAGGTAGAAACAAAAAAAAGGCAGCTGGTTGGCAGCAATGGGCGGTGGGGAAAGGGCAGTTCACGCAACGGAAACTGGGCTCGGGAATTCGACTCCAACTAGAGGCTATAAATAGAGTGATTACTGTGGGATATATTCACGATTATGGGTATATGGAAAGTGAATATCGGAAAGAGTTTCAAGGCACTCCGAGCTCTGGTCTCTGGTTTCTCAAGCATTATCATATGCAGGCGCGTTGGCGTTGCTCGAATAATAATACTCGGATAGTTATAATCGATAGAGACTCGCTGCCCGAGCTGTTCCAAGCTGCCAGTTACCAAGCTACCCAGCTACCGAGCTCCCCCCGTCCGATCCGAGAGGTTGAGCAACTCCCAAGGCAAACTGGTCTTGGCCGAGTCCACCAACTCGCCAGTGTCCAATGGCTTTCTGCCAGTACGTAATGGCCAGCATGGATATGTATACTCTGCTCCGGTATCGACCCTCTGCCACCCCCTTTTGCAATTGGCTCATTTCTCGGCTTTTATTATTTTGGCTGTTTTTTTTGCATTTTTGCGATTTGATTTTGTTAGCATTGTCTTTCGCTTCTTGGCTTGGCCACTTGGCCAGCTTGGATTGCCTTTTGGCCAGCCACTGGGCCACTTGGCATGCCAGGCCACTCTTTCCCCACTCGAATGTGAATGTGCTGGCTTCTGCGGGCCAACAGTTGGCTTTCAGCAGAGAGGTACTTACCAGGGGCTCCCACCCTCCTAGCCCACCTGGCTTGGAATTCAAATTCAGTTCGAGTCTGGCCCAGCTGAAGGCAATAAAGCGAATCAAAATAAATCACAAAGTGCGGGGAAAGGTTGTCAACTGAGGTTGAGAGCCCCAACAGCCAAGAATCCATTGCCCCCCGGGGTGATTACGGTGTTTTTCGGGCCAATGACAAATCTCTCGAGCCACACCAAAGAGGGGAAAGGGCCCAAAGGTGAATCGAAGATTTGAAGACTTGAAGATTTGAAGATCTGTCACCGTCTCAGACTCAGACCCGAACTCTGCGTCATCGATCGATATTAATCATCGACTTGGCGGCCTTCTCCTCCGCCCCCGACTCTCTGAATCGATTTGGGATTCGTCTGGTTATTTTGGTCTTTGGTTTTGTTGATCAATCATTGGAGTTGGCGGCGCAGAAAGGCCACAAAAATATCAAACTTATCTGCATATGTGCTGGGGACTTCGTGTTCGTTCGATGGGTTTTTTTCGTTTTTTCGAACATCACGAAAACTAAATGCCCCAAGCCTTGGGATTAGTGGCAGCCGAGTGGCAAAAAGAAAAGAAATACCAGATGGGTGAGCTTGCATGAGTAGCTGGCTGGCTGGCTGGCTGGCTGGCTGGCTGGCTGACTGGCTGGAAAGACAACTGGATGAGCAACAACAAAACACTTTCTACGAGCGTTACCGTTAAGCAAGGTCGTCGGACAAGCACCAACAATAACAACAACAACAACAGGTTCAGCCTCTCCAGTCTTTAGTCTTCAGTCTTCAGTTGACCAGCGAAGATCACCCAGGCGTGCCTTCTGCCCGTCATCCAAGTAACACAAGCGATTCGGCCTTGAGCTGTCCATTTACCAAACTACCGCTTTAAAGAGTAAGATCCATATGGAGGCTATAGATAGCTTCAAGAAGGTAGCTTCCCGCTGCTCTGCATCCTTGAAAACTGAAGCAAGCAGCCCTCCATGTTCTCTCAGTGTATATATGTAGTTCCCCCCCTGCTCCACACTCCCTTCTCGGGTTGCACTCCCGTCTTTTACCGTTACCTCAATGACGTTGCCCCATCCATCCATCGAGTCGGTTGTAAGAGTCAGAAAAGTAAATGGGATTTGTGTTTTGTGGTTTCGACTGTCTTGCTCTGAATACCCAAAGCCCCAGCCCCAGCCCCAGCCCCAGCCCGTTGGCTCGGTGGCAAGGGAGCTGGGAGATGGGAGACGCCACCATGTGCAGCGACTGCATCGCTGGAAAGTGATGCAACCGGTAGGGGATCGACTTTTGCGGAGGAATCTGCCAGGCGCGGAGGAGGAGTAGATGATTCGGTTTGCCAATCTTTAGAGTCCGCTCCTCGAAAAACGATTCAGTATCTTCGGAATATGGAAGATTCTCATCCCTTTCCGATCCCAACTAAAAACCAATCCTATTACCAATCTTATTTGTAGACCTACGTAAACGCCGTAAGCCAGGGCGTTGAGGATCTCGAGGCCGTACTCTGCTCCCCGGAGAGCCAGAGGCAGCTGGTGCCGCTGGGACCTCAGGTGGTGGCCAGCCGGAGCAAGTCGCGCAAGACCATCGACTCGGAGGATACGCAGAAGCGCTGCCTAGCCCAGGAAGACGGCACCCTGGTAACAGAGAGCCGGCGGACTACCGAGCACGAACTCATCCTCGACGACGACCTGCCCCCCGGCGACCAAAGGCATGCCCAGCTGCCGGCGGCGGATCAGGAGCAGGTGACCACGACGGCGGCCAACCAGCGCTTTTTCCGGCAGCGGGACGAACAGCATGTGGACCTGCTAGCCAACGGCCGACTGCTGTCCACCGAGATGCGCTACGCCGCCGAGACGACCCAGATGGACAAGGACGGAGCCGGGGAGCTGGAGCGTCCGGGCGACTGGGACAGCCTCTCCGACCGGATGCGCAAGCTGCGTCGCTCCCAGCAGCAGCAGCAAAAGGGTAAGTGCTCCTTGGGAGCTCCTCTTGAGCAAACGACTAATCTTCCCATCCAAATCCCCTCCAGAAGTCGCTCTACTGGCTGATCGGAAAGATGCCCTCACGAAGCGGCCCCTTGACTTCGACCGGGAGGAGGAGACCCGCAAGGGCGAGACCATGAAGTGGCTGGAGTCGCACTTCGGCAGCGAGTCCACCGCCTCGAACGACTCCCGCGACGACGAGGTGGCCCCCGAGGGCGAGGTGGTGGAGCCCACCAAGAAGAGCTACTTCAACGTGACCATCAAGTCCCAGAGCCAGCCGCAGCAGCACCCCCATGCCCACCAGCATCCCCACGTCCACACGAATGTCCACGCCCATCCCCACCACCATCCGCACCACCCGCAGACGCTGCCACGGAGCGCGGAACGGGAACGGGAGAGGGAGCGGGAACGCGAACGGGATAGGGATAGGGAGCGGGAAAGGGAACGGGAGAGGGAGCGGGAACGGGAAAGGGAGACGGAGAGGGAGCTGGAGCGGCAGAGGGAACGGGAGCGAGTAAAGGTTGCCACCTTGGAGAGGAAGCCGCCGCCTGGCGGACTCCAGCCCGGCGGCAGTCGCTCGAAATACTTCCAGGGCATCTCCAACTGGTCGGACCGCAAGGATCCGGCTCCAGCCCCGCCCCCCGCCACGGCCGTCAACCACTTCTCGTCGCAGGCCTTCCGCGAGGACCTCCAGGAGACCATAAGGCGCAAGAACCAGGTCTCCGGGCGGGATCAGGGTGGCTCTTTCCTCCCGGAGCAGCCTAAGGACAGCTACGTGAGTCGCGAGGACATCTTGCAGCAGAAGCGCCAGAGCCTCTCCTCGCAGTTTCTAGCCCGCTCCATGCGTGGCTCCCGCGACGCCCTCGACGATCTCGAGGCCATACCGGGCCCCGGTCGTGGTCCAGGACCGCCGCGGCCGGAGGAGCCCTCCCACAAGCGGGTGGCCTACGGACACCACCGCCGCACCAGCAACGGGGTGAACGGAGCGGCATCGGCTCCCTTGGTGAACGGACGTGGAAAGAGCTACGAGCCGGCTCCTCCGCCGCCAGCGCCGCCCATGGAGTTCGGCGGCAATGGCAGCGGATTGGGAGGAAGCCATCCGAGACCCACGGTCCCGCAGCGACGACGTGCCATCGAAAAGAAGCTGGTGGAGCACACGCCTTCCGTGCACTCCCAGGCTCCGCCGATACCCGTGCCAGCAGCGGTCGGTGGGCCTCTTTCCTCCGGCAGCCAGCTGGAGCCCCCGCCGGACTACTCGCCCCCGCCGAGGAGCCGCAGCCGCTCGTCCTCACCCCAGGTGGACTACCTAATGACCAGGTTTGAAACTCTATACCTTCTCTGTAGTATTGATCTTATTCCAGTCCTTTTTAGGGAGCTCCCCGCCAGCACGATGACGCTCAGCCGGAAGCAGCAGCAGCGGACACGCTTCGCCCCCACGTCCAGCTACCCGCCCGGAGGAGCCGGCACCCTGCACCGGGCTCACGCTGGCGGAGCCACCTCGGCCTCCACCTCAAACCTATCCGCCATGAGTGCCCGCAGCGCCGGCGGCGGCAGCTCCAAGCCCAGCCGGATGGGCCAGGTGATTGGCAACTCGCTGCGCAAGCTGGTCAGCAAGATCAGGTCGGCCAGTGCGGAGCGAAAGTTCCGGATGAAGTCTTCGGCCAGCAAGTCGCGGGAACAGTCACCCAGTCCCGGACATCCCGGAGCCAATGGCGGAGGAGGCGGCGGCCCACCCCAGGTGACCACCTACCAGCAGTACAACGTTATCGACGGGCACATTGGCCACAGCCAGGAGTCCGAGGACTCTAACCAGAGCGACAATCACAGGAGGAGGGAGCGCGAGCGGGAGAGGGAAAGGGAGCGGGAAAGAGACAGAGAGAGGGAGCGGGAGCGGGAACGAGAAAGGGAGAGGGAGAGGGAAAGAGACTCCCAGATGCGCCCGAACTTCAAACGGGCCGAGTCCGCCGATCCGCAGCTGCAGAACCTGGAGCAGCAGACCATCAGTCCCCGGCAGCGGTACTACCTGGGCGAGGATCCCTACTCGAGTACCCTATACGGCAAGGAGAACCTGTACGAGCGGCGGCCGCGCCAGCGACAGTACGAGGAGCGGCAGCTAGAGCGCGAGGACGACTACTACGAGCAGCGAGGACCGGGCGGGGCGCCTCCGACGGCCCACACCTTGGGACGCTATCAGAAGCACAGCCAGCGCTTCAGCGGCTCCACACCCAATCTCCACCAGCAGCAGCAGGACTACCGGACTGCCCAGACACTGCCGCGAAAGCTGCACGAGCAGCGCCAGACTCAAGGCCGCTATTATCCCCCGGTCTCCCAGCCCCCGCCACTCAGCCTCCGGGGAGGGAACCACCAGCAGCCGCCCAGAGGCCCATATCATCCCCAGCAGTCGCAGCACCAGCCCCATCCCAATCCCAGCCAGCTGAACCAGCAGCAGGGGCCCGCTAAGCCGGCCAGGACCTACGCCAAGGTCCTGAACCGGAGCAAGAGCTTCAACGTGCACGGCATGAACGGCAGCAACGATCCCAGTCCGATATACATCGAGAAACTGTCCCGGAACAACTACCCGCCGTCGGGAAGCGGCGCCGGCGGTGGCTACGGTCTCGGCCAGGGTCCAAACGCCAACTACAAGTCCAACCCGCACCTCTTCTCTGGTAAGGACAACTCGCTCAAGAGCGGTCTGAAGAGTCCCTCGATCGTGAACCTCATAAGCCGCAGCCAGAAGGACCTCACGAAGATCGGGGTGGCCGGGAACGAGGACGAGGACCTGCTGCCGGCACCCTACCCGGAGCAGCCGGACAAGAAGCAGCTCTACCTGCGCGGCCTGCACCAGCAGGCTCCGGACCTTTACCGGGTGATCCACGGCGACGAGGACTATACCGGACCCGGGCAGCGCAGCAATGGACACAAGTACCCGCTGCAGGCCAAGTACTCGCTGGACTCGCGCTCCCCGCCCTCCGTGGAACTCAACAAGGACACGGCCAGCATAGTGCGCAGGAGCAGCGAGGTGGAGCAGCAGGGCCACCATCTGCGCCGCGGATCGGGCGCCACCATCATTGAACTGCGGACCGGAGGCCACCGCAAGTGAACTCGGCTTCTGGATGGTCCCGCGTCGGAGTCTCCCCCCGAGTATCCCCATAAAATCTGCTAACAAATGCTCGGCCCAGGGGCTTTAGTTTCATTTGTCAAGCAGCAAATAAAAATGAAAGGCCAATTGAACTAATTGACGGAAATCCTTGGAGTATCCTTTGCGAGTCCTTGGAGAATGTAAAAGCAAAACGTTACGCAAAATAGGGATCCACAATCCCGCTGTCCTGCCACGCCTTTTCCAATCGTAATTCGATAATACCATGTAATGCCTACGTCTAATTGCAGTATCTATATAATTTTTGTTTTTTTTTTTTTTACTACTAATATTAACGTTTTGTTGTATAGATGTATCGTTAAATGGATAAACTAACTAATATAACTAATATAATTCGATAATACTTGCACAAGTTTGATTAATAAACAAAAATGCAATTAAAATATTAAATAAAGTGCCAAAATAAAAGCAATAAAAGCTTTTTCGATTTTCGTTTTTCTAGGTAATGCGGTTACTATGTGAGGTGATACTTACTAATTATAGAGTATGTACTAGGTAGTAAGTACTACAATTAAGTATGTAAAAGAGTCTAAGTATCTACATGCCCCTGCCCTCTGCAGATATATATATTATTAATCGGGTATTTATCATGAAATTACTTAAAAGTCCACAACTGGCCATAAAAATCTTACATTGTAGCGCCACTACTTAGCTTAACAACTTGAGTCTGTTTTTATGGCCAAATCAAGTTCCAGTTCAAAAGGTGTTCATACCAAGCCGGGGTACGGAACCAATGGGGACTATTTGATTTCCCATCCCTCCCTTTTATTTCCCTTCCATAACTACTTTGGTCCTGGTCTATTGGGGAGAAGCTCCACATGCTCCACAGTAGCGTTCTACAGGTATTGGGAGGCTTAAGATCAAATATCGTAAGTTCCAAAAGACCCCCAACGTTGAATCACGTAAATTCTGGTCACAAAAAAATATCCAAAAATATGATTCAAATTTTTGTAATTTTCCAGATGAAATTGCATGAATTGCATAACTCGGCAAATACTCGACAGATCCTAAAATCGTATACCTTCCCGATCTCAGAGCTCAGAGTAGCATCGTTTTCTATCAAAACCCAGCGATAAAATTTTTTACCGAAATTTCGAAATTTTTCCTCAGGATTTTTGCCAAAAATTGGTGAAAATTTTTTCCATTTCAAATTTTTTTAATTTTAGTGCAGATTGAAGGAGAATAGAAGGGTGATTTACAAATGGTATTCCGTTTTGGAATCGGTTACGAAACGCCTGAAATATCCTAAAATAAGTGCCTTAAAAAGTCGGATTTTTGAAAAATAAAAAACCTTCAAAAACCTGATTCCAAATTTTTACTTTTTTTGAAAGAAAAACGTTTGTAACTCGGCCAATCCTCATCAGATCCTGAAATGTTATACCTTCCCGGGCTCAGAATTCCGAGTAGCACCTTTTCCTATCAAAACCCAGCAATAAAATTTTTTACCCAAATTTCGAAATTTTTCCAAGGGGTACCATCAGGATTTTTGACAAAAATTGGTCAAATTTTTTTCCCATTTATATTTTTGAAATTTTGATACAGATTGAAAGAGAATAGAACGGTGATTCACAAATGGTATTCCGTTTTGGAATCGGTTACGAAATGACGGAAATATCCGCTAATTAGTGATTAAAAAATTACGATTTTTAAAACAATAAAAAACCCCAAAAATCTTATACCAATTTTTTAAATTTTTGGATAGGAAAATCTTCACAACTCGGTCAATACTCGACAGATCGTAAAATGTTATACCTTCCCGATATCAGAGCTCAAATTAGCATCGTTTTCTATCATAATCCAGCTAGAAAATTTTTTACCAAAATTTCGAAATTTTTCCAAGGGGTACCATCAGGATTTTTGACAAAAATTGTCAAAATTTTTTTCCCATTTATATTTTTTAAATTTTCATGCAGGTTGAAAGAGAATAAAACTGTGATTCACAAATGGTATTCCGTTTTAGAATCGGTTACGAACTGACTGAAATATCCGCCAATAAGTGCATAATAAATTCAAAATTTTGAAAAATAAAAGAACTTCAAAAACCTGATTCCAATTTTTTAAATTTTTGGAAAGGAAAATCTTCACAACTCGGTCAATACTCGACAGATCGTAAAATGTTATACCTTCCCGATGTCAGAGTTGAGAGTAGCATGGTTTTCAAATCAAAACCCAGTTCTTAAATTTTCGACCCAAATTTTGCAATTTTTTCAAAGGCTAAGTTACAAAAATCTAAAAAAATATGAATCTGTTTTTGGCCATATTTGAACACTTATCTTTTTTGAAACATTCCACTTTGAGATCTGAGCTTGATTTCTCAAGATAGCCTTCTGAGTCCCTAAAACAGCGCCATCTGGAGGCTGAAGCTCGAATATCGTAAGTTTGTGTAATAAGCCCTCGGTCTGATCTAGAAACTTTATACGTTACGGACTTGAACCAAAGTACTGAGTACTTGTCCGGAAGTCGTCTAGCCCCAGTTCTGAAAGGGTAGAATCGAGGCTGACAGGGTAATAAAAACCAGCCAAGAGCATTAAACGATTTCTCGCGGATCACCGCCGTTTCGATGAGAACATCCGGGATCAGGTGGGTCGGTTAGACTTTGGTTGGCCCCGGCCAGATGGGTCGGTCCAGTTGTGCGGCGTCTGTTGCGGAGCTTGGTGGTGATGCCGTCCGGATCCATGTTGCTCAAAATCCTTCTATTAACTCAGATAGTCGCTGTGCTTGGCGATCGGGAGTCTCTGCTCCTCGACCTGGTGGATGCGGTGGTCCAGGAAGCAAGCAATGGAAACGCCACACTGACAACGTGCCAAAAGGAGCTGCTGCTCTTCCACGATGCCCTGGAGAAAGAGACATCCTGGGCAATGAAGGGTAAGTCTTTGAGATATGACAAAGAAGATGTCCTAATAACTCTGATCCCCGGCAGCGCGGGACGCCTCCGGCGAGGGCTTCGGTGACTTTATTATGGGGCACAGCTTGTGGCTGGGCAGTCCGGACACTTGCCGGGCGGCCAGTGAGCCGGTGCTTCTCGATTACACTGAGCGGGATGCCCAGTTGCTGCGCCAAGTGTCGCCCTTTCCCCTGGACTACCAGGTGGCCTACGCCTGGCCCCACTCGCCGTGGCACTTTAAGCCGATCATTAAGGACGAATCCTTGCTACACATCGGCCTATGCTTACCACGAAGCTGCGACTCCCCCGAAGTGGAGAAGCTGCTGAACGGAATCTTGACAGCAGGCCAGACACGCTCCTTTCGGCGCTGGAAGATCCAGCCCAGCTTGGCCGGCGTGAAAAAGCCGGGTCTCAGGAGGGACTTCTTCGCCAGCCGGATGGTTCAGCTGTTTTTGGCTCTGACCGGAGCACAGCTGCTTCTCTGCTTGCTGTCCAGCGCAGGCCTGGGCCGGCACTCGCAGATTCTTGCCTGCTTCGACCTTAGGAGCAACTGGCAGCGCGCCTGGAAGCCCAGCACAGAGGAGAATAGCTGCATCAACGGCCTCCGCGTGGTCACCGCCTTCGCTCTGGTGGGCCTCCACGTGGTCTGGTACAAGGCATTTTCTGGGGACCCCTCGCTGAAGCTTCTAGAGTCCGTGACAGCGATGACGATGCGACACACCTACTGGCCCAGCACGGTGGAGGTCTTCTTTGTGATCAGCGGCTTCCTAACGGTGTCGAACTTCCTGCGCAACGAGAAGCTTCAGCAGGACATCGCCCGCGACGGCTTCAGTGGGAGTAACGTGTGCCGTCTCCTGGGCCAGGTCTTCCGCCGCTTCCTGCGCCTGGCACCTTTGCAGTTTGTAGCTATGCTTTCGGCCTCTGTGGGATCGCTGTACCAGCGGCAAGCTTCCCTGCTGCACGTGACGGTGCCGCACGACGAGATTTGCCAGCAGCACGGATGGCGTAACCTGCTCTTTGTGCAGAACCTATTTCCTGTGGTGGAGCTGTGCGGCTCCTGGACCTGGTCCCTGGCCTGCGACATGCAGCTCTATCTACTGGCGCTACTGCTGCTTTTTCTGCACACCCGCCATCCTCGGGTCGTCAGGGGGCTCGTTGGTCTACTCCTGGCCAGCAGCATACTCTACACGATGGGGATGATGAAGGTGCTGCAGGTGAAACCAAACTTCGAGGAGTTCTACCAGGCGGGAAAGTGGTTCTACATGAGTCCCGTCATCCGCATGCTGTCCTACATAGTGGGCGGGGCCTACGGATATACCCACGCCCTTAAATGGGACACGCCTTTTGCCCTTATGCTGCCCAACTGGTGGTCCAAGCTGACCCTCACCCTGATCCTGGGGTGGCTGCTGCAAAAGGCCTTGGCGGAGCAGCTGCCGGAGGCTTCCATCCTCAGCGCCTTAATGGCATTACTGCGGCTTTTGGTGGCTACCTGGGCCGGTCAACTAATCCTGAGTGGCGAAGGCCGGGAATCCTCGGCGCCCAACCGCTGGATCCTGGCCCTCCTCCAGTCGGAACAGCTACAGCGGATCAGTCGGTTCACCTATGCCATCTATTTGCTGAACCCCGTCATCATCATATGGTTCTACCACTCCTTCACCTCCGCTGTTAACGCCGACAAGTCCTTGTTGGTGAGTTTTTTAAGCTTTGCTCTCCGGCGTCAAGTTCTAGATGAACCCCCTTAATCTCTCCCAAACATTTCAGACCCTCCTGATAGTGGGTCACTGCGGCATTTGCTACTTTCTGTCCATCGGAGTCACCTTGCTGTTCGAGATGCCCTTCAACCGATTATCCAGTCTGCTCACCAGCTCAAGATCACCCAGAACGAAAACCCATTAGTTTTAGAGTTTCAGAATGCTTTGTAAAAATGATTTCTTCTTATAAATATGGTCGATATCGAGCAGTTGGGGAAACAATATACTGAATTCGAACCAATTTTTGTCATTTTTATAACGATTTATATTACAAAAGTCAGGCCAAATAGATTGTGAAATAATTTTGATGCAGATCAAAGGATATTAATGTCCTGATTTCAAAATGACATCCCTTTTTGAAATCCGTTGAGAAATGGCTAAGATATCTATCTTGGTCAAATGTGATCAGATTTAAAAAAAGGGTGTTGAAAACGATATGTAAATTTAATTTCCATTAATCTGCGTGTCTAGGGTCATACTAAATTAGTTATTCAAATTAAAATTCTAATTGACCTTTGCAATATTTTTAAGAAATTTATCTCTATCTCATAAATCATTAAAGAATCAATGAATTTATAAAGATTAAACGTTAAAATGTTTTATAAATGGCTTTCTCAAAAACATATAATATATTTTTTTATATTTAGATTCAAATAAAGTACTATAAAAAAACACAGGGAGCATCTTTGTGCCATCTAGTTGGCTTTGGAAAAGAGAACTGTCATGAAAAGTGCATGGTCATTGACATTTCAAAGTACTGATAGGCCAGTCTAGTTCATCGAAGAAAACTTTTTCATTGCTCCTGAAATTTTTTCATTTTTCTTGAAACTATGGACCCAAATAAGAATAAGAAACCGAAGTACAAGCTTACCGAAAAGAAGCTGGAGGTTATGAATGATGTGGAGTTTGTTCGCAATATTCTCAAGGACATGGACGTGGATGCCGATCCCCAAGCACGTGGAGTTCTTCTTGACCTGGCCTACAGTAAGTATTTTATGCTTTCTAATGACTCCACACTATATAAAATTGTCATTAGCTTTAGCCAGGGATCACCTGGTTGAGGCCGATCGTTATTCCAAAATGGATGGTCGCACAACCATAAGTGTTGAGGACATCAAAATGTCAAAGCAAGTGGAAGTGCCTAAGGTGTACAAACCTCCGCCACCGGACGATGTTTTCTCCATCATAAAGCTTAAGGACATCGATATGGAAAACCAAGTGCCTGTGAAGGAGATGGCCAAAACTCCGCCTCTGGACGATGGGCCGAGTTGCTCCAAGAAAAGTGTTAAGGAGATCAAAATGGGAAAGCATGTGCCTGTGAAGAAGATGGCCAATACTCCGCCACTGGACGATGGACCGAGTTGCTCCAAGAAAAGTGTTAAGGACTTCAAAATGGGAAAGCATGTGCCTGGGAAGAAGATGGCCATTACTCCGCCACTGGACGATGGACCGAGTTGCTCCAAGAAAAGTGTTAAGGACATTAAAATGGGAAAGCCAGATCTTGTGAAGAAGATGGCCAATACTCCGCCACTGGACGATGGACCGAGTTGCTCCAAGAAAAGTGTTAAGGACATTAAATCGGGAAAGCCAGATCTTGTGAAGAAGATGGTCAATACTCCGCCTCTGGACGATGGACCGAGTTGCTCCAAGAAAAGTGTTAAGGACATTAAATCGGGAAAGCCAGATCTTGTGAAGAAGATGGTCAATACTCCGCCTCTGGACGATGGACCGAGTTGCTCCAAGAAAAGTGTTAAGGGCATCAAAATGGGAAAGTCAGATCTTGTGAAGAAGATGGTCAATACTCCGCCTCTGGACGATGGACCGAGTTGCTCCAAGAAAAGTGTTAAGGGCATCAAAATGGGAAAGCATGTGCCTGTGAAGAAGATGGCCATTACTCCGCCACTGGACGATGGGCCGAGTTGCTCCAACAAAAGTCTTAAGAACATCTTTATGAAAAAGCAAGGTCTTGTGAAGAAGATGGCCAATACTCCACCACCGGACGATGGACCGAGTTGCTCCAAAATAAGTTTTAGGGACATCAATATGGAAACGCAAGTGCCTTTGAAGAAGATGGCCAAACTTTCGCCACCGGACGAAGATCCCAAGCCGAACGATGAGCTTCCGAGCACCAGCCAGCATAAAGGACACCACACCGACTCCTAACTATTTGATATTTCCAATCATGTGGCGCCTCGACTGGTCTCAGAGGTGTCATTAATTGAGGACCAATGGAGCTACGAATACCACCATCGAATATGACGGCTCCTTATCCTGTCGTCAATATTTAAAACCTCTCATCATTTTATCAATCAATCAAGATCGACTACTCCCGCACACTTATAGGGACTTTCTTCTGTCCTTTTGCTCCAAATGTAGACAATAAATTACATAAAATAATATAAATGAATTATAAATTCTCGACAAAAAAAAAAAACCCATAAACTTTTATCAACAGATTTCAGAAAGGGATATCATATATATTGGGTCCTATATACCATATGTTGAACGTTGTGCGCTGTTTGGACTACTTGCAAAGCTTATATCTGGGTCTATTCTCATTGGATTTTAGGAATTCCGTTTCCAAATCGGCTAAGAAATGGCCAGAATATTCCCAAATCCAATAATCCCAAATATGGGTTCCAATTTGTCATTTTCGTATTTTGTATAGCGTATATCTCGGCCATTTCTGGACTGATTAAGGAACAGAATACCATTTTCAAATCAGGACATAAATATCCTTCGATCTGTATCAAAAGATTCGCGAAATCCATCAAAAAAAATTCGACTCGATTTTCGCAATTTTTGACAGGGGTAACATCATGATTTTTTGCCAAAATCGGCTTAAATTTTTTTGTTCGATTTTGAAAATGTTTTGATGCAGATCGAAGGATATTGATGTCCTGATTACAAAATGGTATCGCTTTTGGAAATCCATTCAGAAATGACCAAGATATGAGCTTAGAAAAATCCGCCTAGGCGCCCACCTCGAAGCGAAAATTTCTTGAAATTCGTATGGGAGCCAATCTGAAGTACCAGGCGAACAGAAATCAGCAGAAGGTCGACGAATTCAAGCAGTGCAAGCAGTTTCACCACCCCCCTCGCCCTACCTTCGACAGAAAAATTACACAATTGTCCCTTATCCGGCCCCATGGACCTCACACGCCCATGCAAGTTTCTCAGGAGAGATTTTATTGTTAGGACAATAAATAGTTGACCCACCGTCTCCTTATTATGTTTCCTGCATTTTGTATACAATCTACTTCACTGAATGATGATTTTATAATCCTAAATTAGCAGTTTTGTTGCTACATTAAAACAAATATTAAATATATACAGGTCAAGACAAGTGAAGGGTTAACTTTCGTATTTTGCAGAGAAACGGTACTATTGCCAGCTTTAGCCAATCCCAGCCTCCAAAATTGAGATCCATAACGGTGATTTCCACCTAATGATGGCAAAACCAAAGTGGCACACGTTGATTTTCTGCGCGTGTCACGAAATGGGGCTGTCGTGAGCGAAAATGTATGGGGACGGCGGATCGTGCTGAGCTTGCGTGCCAAGTGCCGTTACAAATCACACCTGTTCTCCCATCACTCGTACGACCTAATTTGTCTACCTTTCCCCCTCTAATAATGATGGGTAGCAGCATCCCATTCCCCCCCATGGAGTATGATGCTGTGATCCCAATTCCATAAGGGTCAATGGGGGGGTAGAGTGCCGCCACAGAGGGGTTTCTCCCTTTCTCACACCTGGTTAATGCAGAAAGAACTGCTTGGACTGCTTGTACTGCTTGAATTCGGCCACCTTCTGCTGATTTCTGTTCGCCTGGTACTTCAGATTGGCTCCCATACGAATTTCAAGAAATTTTCGCTTCGAGGTGGGCGCTAAGGCGGATCTTTCTAAGCTCATATCTTGGGCATTTCGAAACGGATTTCCAAAAGCGATACCATTTTGTAATCAGGACATCAATATCCTTCGATCTGCATCAAAATATTTAAAAAATCAAACAAAAAAATTTGGGGCGATTTTCGCAAAAAATCATGATGTTACCCCTGTCAAAAATTGCGAAAATCGAATCGATTTTCGAATGATCGATTTCGCGAATTTTTTGATACAGATCGAAGGACACAGAAGTCCTGATTCAGAAATGGTATTCTGTTCCTTAATCGGTCCGGAAATGGCCAAGATATACGCTATATACAAAACACGAAATTGAAAAATCGGAACCCATATTTGGGAATAATAAACGCCATATTTCACCCAAATATTTTATATTCAAGTTCAAGTCAAAAAGGAGCTCGCTCCCAAGTACCCATCTAGGGTACTTCTAGGTACGTAGGACAAGAATGTGGAGTCCAGGAGCCCAGAATCTGAAAACCCACCCATAAATTCTTTGGAAAGGTGTGTACTTTAAAGGAATATTTCGTTTATTTATCGAATACATTGAAATGCATACACGAGTTCTTTCCTCAAACATTTTGTTTGTTTTTTGTATTTTTTTGTTGTTTTGTTTTATCATTATATTACCTTGTATTTGTTTAAATAAATAAGATACATACGTTTAATCATAATAGCAGTATTTATCGTGCAAATTTGATAAGCATAATAATAATTGTTTACGTTTTGCTCGTTTCTTGCAAGTTTTTGTAGCTTTTGTTTTTTTCTTTTTTACTTCTCATTACGAAATAAGTTTTAAATATATGAAAAAAAATATATATATTTCTTGCGTCCTCCTTATCTTTGTTGTATAATTTGTCGTTTTTGCATTTTTTTTTTTTGTTTGTTTTTTTTTTTTAATTAGCTGCTCTTGCTTATGTGTGTGTGGGGGGCAGGGTGTGTGTTTAAGAGAGTGTCCTCTAGCATTAGTTTACTTTTTCTTTAAAGTAAAAAACGATCTGCGCTTTGGTTCGTCCTTTTGTGAGGTGGCGGGCAGAGTCTGGGACCTGCTGGCGGCCACCGCTGCCGAATCGCTCTGTGCCTTCAGGCTGGACACCCACTGGGACATCTCGGTGTCGTCATGGGCCTGCAGTAAGAACTCTGCGCCATTGGAGAGCCTGTAAGGTGGATAAATTAATATAAACCCACTCCAGGATAAACGCCAGGTGCTCTTGCGGGGGGTAGTACTCACTTGACTCGCAGCACATGCTTCTTCTTGGTGTAGTCATTGGCAATTTCAATGGTGGCACCCTGCAGATCATAGCTGGGCTCCCCGCGGAAGGTCAATTCGGGATTACTCTTGTA